TTTTTCTTTATTTTTAATGTAGTAACCAAAAAATTGTTAAACAAATCAAAATATATTTTATATTTCAAAATAGCCACCCTTTGCCTTGATGACAGCTCTGCACACTCGTGGCATTCTCTCAACCAGCTTCATGAGGTAGTCACCTGGAATGCATTTCAATTAACAGGTGTGCCTTTAATTTGTGGAATTTATTTCCTTCTTAATGCGTTTGAGCCAATCAGTTGTGTTGTGACAAGGTAGGGGGGGTATACAGAAGATAGCCCTATTTGGTAAAAGATGTCCGTATTATGGCAAGAACAGCTCAAATAAGCAAAGAGAAACGACAGTCCATCATTACTTTAAGACATGAAGGTCAGTCAATACGGAAAATGTCAAGAACTTTGAAAGTTACTTCAAGTGCAGTCGCAAAAACCATCAAGCGCTATAATGAAATTGGCTCTCATGAGGACTGCCACAGGAATGGAAGACCCAGAGTTACCTCTGCTGCAGAGTTTAAGTTCATTAGAGTTACCAGCCTCAGAAATTGCAGCCCAAATAAATGCTTCACAGAGTTCAAGTAACAGACACATCTCAACATCAACGGTTCAGAGGAGACTGTGTGAATCAGTCCTTCATGGTCGAATTGCTGCAAAGAAAGCACTACTAAAGGACACCAATAATAAGAAGTGACTTGCTTGGGTCAAGAAACACGAGCAATGGACGTTAGACCGGTGGAAATGTGTCCTTTGGTCTGGAATCCAAATGGGAGATTCTTGGTTCCAACCGCTGTGTCTTTGTGAGAGGCGGTGTGGGTGAACGGATGATCTCCACATGTGTATTTCCCACCGTGAAGCATGGAGGAGGAGGTGATATGGTGTGGGGGTGCTTTGCTGGTGACACTGTCTGTGATTTATTTAGAATTCAAGGCACACTTAACCAGCATGGCTACCACAGCATTCTGCAGCGATACGCCATCCCATCTGGTTTAGGCTTAGTGGGACTATCATTTGTTTTTCAACAGGAACTTCTTCAAGACTATTGGAAAAGCATTCCAGATGAAGCTGGTTGAGAGAATGCCAAGAGTGTGCAAAGCTGTCATCAAGGCAAAGGGTGACTATTTGAGGAATCTGAAATATAAAATATATTTGTATTTGTTGAACACTTTTTGGGTTACTACATGATTCCATATGTGTTATTTCATAGTTTTGATATCTTCACTATTATTCTACAATGTAGAAAATAGTAAAAATAAAGAAAAACCCTTGAATGAGTAGGTGTTCTAAAACTTTTGACCGTCAGTCAGAAAGGTAGAGGAAGCAATTGATGAGGTAGAGTGGTAGGCATTAATGTGGAGATTCAGGTTCTCTGTTCTTTACCAGGAGGAAGGTGGGAGATGAGATACACTTGAGGTTATATGGGAGAAACTTGGAGCGGGTGAGGGCCTTCAGGTTCCTTGGGGTATACTTTGGCACTAGGCTCACCTGGGCAGAACACATTGAGAGAGTGGTTGGAAAGTGCAAGAAGGTGCTAAATGTGATGCGCTGTCTGACGGGGATTGGGTGGGGGGCATTCCTTTTTGAGGACCATTTATGTTGCATTGATCCGATCTGTAATAGACTATGGCTCTATAGCGTATGGTTCGGCAGCCCGGACCTCATTGGAAAGGTTGGATGTCATACAGGGGCAAGGACTCAGAACATGTAGTGGGGCATTTCGGACCTCCCCAGTGGCTGCACTACGGGTGGAGATGGGGGATTTGCCATTGCAGATTAGGAGACAGCAGCTGGCAATGAATTATTGGGTCAACCTACAGGGACATGGGGTGTCTCATTCTGCAAAAGGGATTTTACAGGCATGCTGGGAACATGAGCGAGGACAGAACATGAGCTTTGGGTGGGTGGGTAATACCCAGGCGAGGGAGATGGGACTGTATGGAAGGGAGTTTAGTCCAATGGTAGCTATTCCTGTAAATCCACCATGGCTACTCCCGCCTCCAGTAGTTGATCTAGAAGTGTTGGAGAGACTACAGAAAGATAGGGAGGGTGTTGATCCATCTGATTTGTTTAATAGACGTCTGCATACTGTGTATCAGGATTTTGTGGCCATTTACACAGATGGTTCAAAAGATCCAAGGACAGGACGTACTGGGTCAGCATTTGTAGTGCAGGAATGTGGGTTGGCAGTCAGGAAACGTATTACAGATCATCTGGCTGTATATACGGCAGAGCTGATAGCTATACTGTTGGCCTTGAAGTGGGTGGAGGAAGTCAAGCCAGACAGAGTAGTTATTTGCTCTGATTCATGTGCAGTGTTGATGAGTCTGCAGTCCTTCAGCTAACGTAGCAGACAATACCTGCTTTATGATGTGCTACAAACCCATGGCAGGATTAGACAGATGGGTATACAGATAAGATTTACTTGGGTCCCAGCCAGTGGAGGCTGCTGAGGGGATGACGACTCATAATAATGGCTGGAACGGCGCAAAAGTAATGGCATCAAATACATGGAGACCATGTGTTTGATGTATTTGATACCATTCCACTTGGAGGGGAATGAGGCAGTTGATGTACTGGCTAAACAATCACTTAGTAGTGGGGATGTTGTAGTTTCAGAGGCAAAAAAGCCAGATATGGACAGTGATGGTGCAGAGATGGCAGGAGCAGTGGAATAGAGATACTAAGGGCAGACATTTATTTCAAGTATCAGAGGGAAAGAGAGAGGCTGAGATCTAGTATGAGGGAGAAGGGGATACAGAAAATTAGTTGAAAGAGTATATTGAGTAGAACATCATTAGATATAGTCTCAAATATGTAACGGGGCTGGCAGGTAGGATTTACTTCCTCTCTGTCGCTTGGTCCACACTCCAGTACAGTAGGTGGCGGTAAGGCACAATAACATTGGATGCCAACCGCCGATAAACCCCACCGAAGGAGTTAGCTGATCAGGGACACCGGCGAAAGATCGGTTTGTCAGTATTTACCACAGCTACAAAGTCAAAATTGGTTATCATAAAAATTAATGAAAACTAAAATTTGCTCTTTGGTCTTAATTTAAGGTTAGGGTTAGGCATAAGGTTAGTGGTGTGGTTAAGGTTAGGTTTAAAATCATACTTTTTGAAGAGACATTTTTTAAATATGCAGGTTTATACAGAATAATGACTTTGTGGCTGCGGTAACTAGTGAGGACCGAAAGATCGGGAAGAAAAATGGATTTCCGGAGTCTCCAACCAATAAGCGCATTCCACATGCGGACACCATGCATGCGAGCATGCGAAAGTGTAGTGGACAAATGCGATTGGTGCTGATGGTGAAGGTAGTGAATCCGCAGCAGCACGCAAGAGGAAATAGACAGCGGACATCCACGAAGGCTGTGCTTGTCAGACCTACCGCTTAGCCACTTGCATTATCCAACTACAGGGACGCATTTTTCTTAAGTTATTGCTCCTTCAAAAAATGAAATAGTTTTGATGGTGGTATGAATTATCCGTATTTCATGGTCTGGAACGTTGTAGCTAACCGGCGAGTTTGACAGGGCAAGGCATCGGTCTCCTAACAAGTGTGAGGACTTACATTAGCCACCGTTTTCATTGCACGTGAGGTTATTTATATTTGTATGAATTTTTGACAGCGTGAGTTTGGGGAAGACACACAATAATTGAGGAATCAGTGGGGTTGTCGAGGTTTCAGCTAAGCAGTAAACGTTAGCGAGCTGGTGTGTGACCTCGCGCGGCTACTCTCACCATGGAGAACGCTCACACAAAGACGGTGGAGGAAGTTTACAGCCATTTCAACGTGAACGAAAGCACAGGTCTAGGTTTAGACCAGGTGAAGAGGCAGCGGGAAAAATGGGGACCTAATGGTGAGTAACATGTTTCTGAAATGTGATATCCCTTGCCTGGCTACACCGTGTACGGCCTGTTAGCTAGTTAGCTAGCTAAACTACCGCTACGCCTCTTGCATTCTTCAGCAACCCGCTTGTTTGAACAAATTGCTGACGTCATGAACATGTACAGTCTCGTGTGTTGAAACAATTTCAGTAAACGAACTAAAGCAAAATGCTGTACATTTGAAATAGTCTGCCTGTTCTAAACGATGTTGAGTATGTCTTATGTTTGTCCTCCAGTCCTAGGTATCTAGGTGTATTTTCCCTTTTGAAACCCAATTGTAACATTCCTCTCTCACTGTTGTCCTCTATTTCCGTTGTGGTATCCATTGGATGAACCGCAGAATTGCCTGCTGAGGAGGGTAAGCAAATAGTTACATTTTTGTTAATTTACTTTTTCAAATTATCCAATTATTTGGATGCAATCAAACCCTCTATTTTATTTTATTAGGAAAATCTTTATGGGAACTGGTAGTTGAACAGTTTGGAGATCTACTTGTGAGGATTCTTCTTCTTGCAGCCTGCATATCCTTTGTAAGTATATAATTACAATTAATTTATTCACATGAGGATGATGGTATGCTTCATATGTGTCCAGAATAAGTGTACGGGCATAATTGTTGAGGAACGCACAAATCCCCTCTAGGGCAGATAGCACTGAAGAGGGGTTTCTTAAGAAATTGCAAGCCCCTGGGTTTCCATTAGGCCTTGTGCCCACAGCGCCAGCCTCATGTCGGTTTTGTATGGTATCTGACTGTCTATTCTGGTGAAAATGTGATGGTAAACTGGCATTTGTCCAGTAATTTAGGGATAATTAATTGGTTGTTGCACCTACTTGTATGTCGTTACATCTTAGGTTACTGCATCAGAATGAGGGGCGTGTTTGTTTTTGTGAAGAACACTGAGTGGGGGACAGCTGAGAAAGCTAACCTAGTCTGCTATGTTGAGAACATAAATGATGGAGATTGAGTTTGTAGTTGTTAGCGAGTCGCTATTTTCTTGCACCTGTTTTGAGCCTCCTTTTCCTGCTGTTGTCCAATTATTCCTAATCTACTCCCTTTAGTAAGTCCCTATCATATCCCTTCTATTGAAGTCCTTCATGGGAAGCAGTTGATCTGGAAATAAACAATGTTTGTTTTATGTCACAAGTGGCCTCACTAGTGGTGATCCCGGTGAGTGCCAAGTTCACCTCTCTGTGACCCCATTTCCCTTCCTGTTGGCTGGTATTCAACGCAACATCGCTGTAAATACCACCAGCAGCAGGGACAGTCACACATAGTGATGATGGTCAGGAATCTAGCCTGTAAATCACATCCAGTAGTAGACAGATCACACACACAAGCGTCCTAAGCATGCTTGAGCTGTCAAGATGTTCACATTTTTCATTGGCATTTGATTTGATAGGCTGTACCTCTAACTGGGTTAGAAGGAGGATAATCTTAGTATGTAACACATTTATAGTTCTGGCCTAGATTCTGATTGAGGAGACAAGTTACTTCTGTCCCTGTTGTTCTGAAATAGTCTTTGAGAAACGATAGACCCATTCTCTGGATAAGATTTTATGAATTGGGACTGAAACACTGTCATTACGCTGAACACATTTACTAATGTATGGTAGTGAGAGGCTTTCAATCCCCTATTCATTGCACAAATGAGTCATATTATTGACTGTTATCGCCAGAGACCTTGACAAGGATAATTAGGTGGGCATGGGTGAGTTAATGATGCTGAGGCCTCTGTCGTGTACTCCAATGCCTGAGGAGGAGTGCTACTCTGCTCAATCTCCTCCCTGTTCATGATTGACTGTCGGAGACATCAAAATAGAATGAGAATATGTGGCTTTTTTAACCTCTTCATTCAAAGTGGTCATTACATAGCATACAAGATCAAGCTTGGCCTTTATGAGCACTGTTGTGTGGGAAGCTACCACTCCAGCCCTTCGAAGTGTAGCCTAGTTTGAGATGTACAAGGAAGTTTTCAGTAATTTCTACCATTGTCCCCTCCATCTCTAAGTCATTTCTGAGGTAAAATGGTTGGACTTCTACAGATGAAATTGCTGATTTTATCTGTTATGTAATGCGGTCATTCAAACCACTGGTTTAAACCCATGCATCCTATTTCAGTGGCTGAGGACTTCATGGAAATGAACACCACTTTAAAGAGTAGTCGCTCGCTGTTGAGAGAGGACAAAATGCTTAGCCAGAGACTGGATGCCTGAACAGCGTAGAGGTGTGTGGTGCTTTGAATGTAAACTACAGGTATTAGAAATGGCATGTTCAACAGTAGATTTTTGATGTAGCTGGAAGTCCTGCATCAGACAGGTAGTCAATTCTTCACTGACATCTCTCTGCAGTAGCTGGCCTAGATGTACAGATGCTAAGGTGTTTGATGGGCTTGTGCTGACAACCACACTTTCAGCCCTGATGAGCCTTGTCACTCTCCAACGGCTACTTTTCACCCAAATTGAATAACTCACTGTTACCAAGTGATTGCCTTTGCCCTGGTTTTGCAAGAGTGCTCCAGGCTCTGTTACCTTGACCCTTGCCTCTGGTTCGCCTTATCTCCGCTACACCCTAAAGCTGGTATCTGACTGAGACATTAATATCTGGTACTGCAGGGCATAATATTAATGTATTATTTTGGGGTATTGCTGTCTGACTTGTCTGCCTGTTTCTCCTGTATTAGGTGCTGGCCTGGTTCGAGGAGGGAGAGGAGACCATCACAGCCTTCGTGGAGCCTTTTGTAATTTTGCTGATTCTAATAGCAAATGCCATCGTGGGTGTCTGGCAGGTAAGCAGATCTTTTACAACCTTTTTTCTTTTAATATGGTCAACTTAGATTTTTCTTAGTTTGATAGACTGTCCCACGCTAAGAGGGATATAATTAATAGTAGTAGGCCTAGCTTATGATAGGATCAGGCCATATCTAGAGATAACTGATTGCCTCACTCACTGTAAATTGAGGGAATTGATTGTGTGCATGAGGAAGAAACTGAAATTATGTAGAAATTGTAGCAAAGCTGTTTTTGCCCCTGGCTGGTTTAATGACAGTTTCTTAGTCACTCCAGTCAGTGACAACCATTAGTTGCCTGTGATTGGTCACTGAGCTGGTCCCCCTGATGGCAGGGTTTGGATGCTAGGAAGAGGGTTTGGAGGGATCCCTGTGGATGTCCTCTTGCCAGTTAAACGCCTGCCTGCCCAAACAATCCTCGGGGAGAGAAAATGCCATGAACAAAAAGACAGTTAAAAATAGAACCAAGCTTAGAGCGGAACCAGAGGCTATTCTTCTCAGTCCTTTATGACGCAGGAGAATGAAGATATACACTGGGCATATAGCTAGGCCTATACAGTGAGGGAAAAAAGTATTTGATCCCCTGCTGATTTTGTACGTTTGCCCACTGACAAAGAAATTATCAGTCTATAATTTTAATGGTAGGTTTATTTGAACAGTGAGAGACAGAATAACAACAAAAAAATCCAGAAAAACGCATGTAAAAAATGTTATAAATTGATTTGCATTTTAATGAGGGAAATAAGTATTTGACCCCTCTGCAAAACATGACTTAGTACTTGGTGCTAAAACCCTTGTTGGCAATCAGAGGTCAGACGTTTCTTGTAGTTGGCCACCAGGTTTGCACACATCTCAGGAGGGATTTTGTCCCACTTCGAGGCTGATGTTTGGCAACTCGAACCTTCAGCTCCCTCCACAGATTTTCTATGGGATTAAGGTCTGGAGACTGGCTAGGCCACTCCAGGACCTTAATGTGCTTCTTCTTGAGCCACTCCTTTGTTGCCTTAGCCGAGTGTTTTGGGTCATTGTCATGCTGGAATACCCATCCATGACTTTTTTCCCTCACTGTATGTAGCTATCCACATTTAAAGCCGTAGTCATTCAGTTTAGAAGTTAGTCAGTCGGTTGAATCATGGCTGTGTAATGGTGTTGCCTGCCGAGTGCATTAACTGTTGCTCAAGGGTACTACACAATGTGATTAGCCTATACATCTCTTATACAGTTTGATTGATCAACTTAATTAAAGATTAGTGATCCGAGAACCATTATTCTTGCCTACTCATTGCTGACTGTATCAAGTGGAAAAGTAATTCACTGCATAGTCCTCCCCTGGAGCACTGTGTGTGCAGTTCTACAGAACATGGTTTTGATGGATTTCAGTCCATCCTCCTTGACTCATTCTAGTTCTTCTCTCCACTGCTCATGGGACTAGCACAATGGTAGTGTGAGGTCACCCCCACACTATGCAGTAGTACAGTGGGATCCTCACATGAAAGGTGTGACATAAACACAATGAATTCAGCCATCCCTATTGTGTTACGGGACATTCAGATTAGTTCCTATACTCTAGCAGGACTGTTGTCATCAATATGTGCGTCGGGGGAGTTCTCTGACACACCTGTGCTGCTGCTGATGTCTGTCTCGAAGGGATGAATCATGTTTAATGAGCTTTGAAGTTTTATAACTTGCAAACCCAGGTCTCCCAGCCCCAGCTGTTCAAACAAGCTTGTGCCACTGATGGCACTGTTAAAACCAAGCCAGAAAAAACACTGGAAACCTACAGATGTACTGCAAGAATTGTGGAAGATATATGATTCCATATAGTCACTCTCTCTAGATTACGTTTAAAATTTTAGTCATTTAGCAGACGCTCTTATCCAGAGTGAGTGCATTTTTTTTTTCATACTGGCCCCCCGTGGGAATCGAACCCACAACCCTGGCGTTGCAAGCGCCATGCTCTACCAACTGAGCTACACAATAAGTTTTACTTTTTAGCTCCCAGTGTCAAGAAATCCCTAGATGCAGAGGGGGATGGAGTTGGATAGTGAAAGCCTATATTAAGTTGTCATTGTAAAACTCCAGATCTAACTAGATAACTCTCCCAATTCAGGCTAAAGATAGAGCAAGCATCCCACTGGAGTCCCCAGGCCAGGAGCAGAGAGAAAATAGGTCTTATTTTCCCTCCCTGCCTTCGTTCATTTCTCACTCATGCAGAAACCCTCGTCCCACGTTCTCCTCCTTGGTTTTATTTTAGTCTCCATTCATTACTCTGACTGGCCTGAGATGCCCCCCCCCCCCACCCCCCCTCCCCCTCCACTCACATGCCAAGTTTTCCCTCCTCACTCTTGGGTCCTTTTAGGGGTAAAAAAATAAAAAAGCTCGATGGCACAACCTGTATGGTTGTACGGGTATGTCTCTCTGCTTGTGGTTTCCTCTAGACTTCTGGCTTATCCCAAGGGGTTAAAGTGGCAGGTCATCGACAGGAGGTGGATTATTGATTTGGCTGTGTGCACCTTTGTTGCTGGAGCAGGCTTGGAGGCACACAGCCTAATTACCTTTCTGCTCGGTTTCTTTTTCAATCCGAGTCGGAGCAGAGGCAGGAGAAGATCGCCGCTCGATGGGCACAGGGACTCCTAGCACCCGCCATGCACATGGCAACAAGATTTAGAGGCCCATAAAAGACCACAGTAAATAATGCCGGGTGTCACTCGGCAACCGGGTCAGCTACAGGCGAGTTAGTGTAGGGGGACAGTAGTAATGGCTTAACAGTAAAGGTTTACTGTGTTCTAAATGTATTATCATATGGTGTCTATTTCGCGCTTGGCACCTGTATCTTAGAAATTGACAGATTGAGTCACAGGCTAAGGTTGTGGAGAGGTGATTAGATGACTAGAAAGAGTGTCCTGTTGGGCAGATGTCCACCCACACCCGGAAGGAGTCCCATTGAAGCAGGTCCATACAGTTTGTCTGTTTAGTTAGTTATACCTTTTTGGTCAATGGTGTCATTGACCACTGGAGTTTAGTACAGAGCAGTCTTTCTTGCCATATGGCTTTTACATCCTGCCAAACAGTGGATTTCTAATATATTCCTTAACCAACATAATGAAATCTTTCTCTAGCCATAGAACCATGTGGTGAGTCGTTCTATTCAGAATACACCCTGGTTACTGTGGCTAGGACAAACCTCTAATCGAGAGCTAAGTATTTTTCTTAATGTGCAGGATGTAAATGAGATTACCCACATTTCAAAAAGACTCATTGTAATGGTTATGGTCAATAATATCAAAGGCTGCACTGAAATTTAACAGTACAGGTCCCACAAGCTTATTATCAATTTATTTCAACCAATCATCAGTAATTTGTGTCAGTGCAGTACATGTTGAATGCCCTTCTCTATAAGCATGCTGGAAGTCTGTTCATTTGTTTACAGAGAAATAGCATTGTATTTGGTCAAACACCATTTTTTCCAACAGTTTGCTAAGCGCTTGGCAGCAAGCTGATAGGTCTGCTGTTAGAACCATTAAAGGCCGCTTTACCACTCTTGGGTAGCGGAATGACTTTGGCTTCCCTCCAGACCTGAGGACAAAGACTTTCCTCTAGGCTCAGATTAAATATATTACAGATATGAGTGGCTATAGAGTCAGCTACCATCCTCAGTAGCTTTCCATCTAAATTGTCAATTCCAGGAGGTTTATTGATCGCTAACAATAATTTTTCCACCTCTCCCACACTAACTTTACAAAATTCTAACTTACAATGCTTTTCTTTTATTATTATTATTATTTTTATATATGAATGATGGCTCACCGTTCGTTGTTGTCATTTCCTGCCTAAGTTTGCCCACTTTGCCAATGAAGTTATCATAAAAATAATTGGGAACATCAAATGGTTTTGTGATGAATAAGCCACCTGAGTCATTTTAAAGTACTCAAGTTGTTTTTCCATCATTCTTTATATCATTGATCTTGGCTTCATAATACAGTTTCATCTTCTTTTTGTTGAGTTTAGTCACATTTTCTCAATTTGTAGTAAGTCAGATGTGCAGCCAGACTTATTAGGCACTCCTTTTGCCTCATCTCTTTCAACCATACAGTTTTTCAATTCCTCATCAATCCATGGAGCCGTAACAGTTCTAACAGTCAGTTTCTTAACAGGTGCATGTTTATCAATAATTGGAAGAAACAATTTGTGCAGCATCTGGATGCTCCTTATTAATCACATCAGAGCAACAAATATTTTTAACATCATCCACTGGAGCTGGATCCAATGGGTATGGCTACGGCTTTAGAACAAAGTTCTATAGTATTAGTAAAAATGTTATCAAAACATGTAGATGATCTTGTTCCTGTAGTGTTTGTAAACACCCAGGTAGGTTGATTTAATAACCTGAACCAGGTTACAGGCACTATATATACAGTGGGGAAAAAAAGTATTTAGTCAGCCACCAATTGTGCAAGTTCTCCCACTTAAAAAGATGAGAGGCCTATAATTTTCATCATATGTACACGTCAACTATGACAGACAAAATGAGAAGAAAACAATCCAGAAAATCACATTGTAGGATTTGTAATGAATTTATTTGCAAATTATGGTGGAAAATAAGTATTTGGTCAATAACAAAAGTTTCTCAATACTTTGTTATATACCCTTTGTTGGCAATGACACAGGTTAAACGTTTTCTGTAAGTCTTCACAAGGTTTTCACACACTGTTGCTGGTATTTTGGCCCATTCCTCCATGCAGATATCCTCTAGAGCAGTGATGTTTTGGGGCTGTCGCTGGGCAACACAGACTTTCAACTCCCTCCAAAGATTTTCTATGGGGTTGAGATCTGGAGACTGGCTAGGTCACTCCAGGACCTTGAAATGCTTCTTACGAAGCCACTCCTTCGTTACCCGGGCGGTGTGTTTGGGATCATTGTCATGCTGAAAGACCCAGCCACGTTTCATCTTCAATGCCCTTGCTGATGGAAGGAGGTTTACACTCAAAATCTCACGATACATGGCCCCATTCATTCTTTCCTTTACACGGATCAGTCGTCCTGGTCCCTTTGCAGAAAAACAGCCCCAAAGCATGATGTTTCCACCCCCATGCTTCACAGTAGGTATGGTGTTCTTTGGATGCAACTCAGCATTCTTTGTCCTCCAAACACGACAAGTTGAGTTTTTACCAAAAAGTTATATTTTGGTTTCATCTGACCATATGACATTCTCCCAATCCTCTTCTGGATCATCCAAATGCACTCTAGCAAACTTCAGACGGGCCTGGACATGTACTGGCTTAAGCAGGGGGACACGTCTTGCACTGCAGGATTTGAGTCCCTTGGCGGCGTAGTGTGTTACTGATGGTAGGCTTTGTTACTTTTGTCCCAGCTCTCTGCAGGTCATTCACTAGGTCCCCCCGTGTGGTTCTGGGATTTTTGCTCACCGTTCTTGTGATCATTTTGACCCCACGGGGTGAGATCTTGCGTGGAGCCCCAGATCGAGGGAGATTATCAGTGGTCTTGTATGTCTTCCATTTCCTAATAATTGCTCCCACAGTTGATTTCTTCAAACCAAGCAGCTTACCTATTGCAGATTCAGTCTTCCCAGCCTTTTGACAGCTATTTGGTCTTGGCCATAGTGGAGTTTGGAGTGTGACTGTTTGAGGTTGTGGACAGGTGTCTTTTATACTGATAACAAGTTCAAACAGGTGCCATTAATACAAGTAACGAGTGGAGGACAGAGGAGCCTCTTAAAGAAGAAGTTACAGGTCTGTGAGAGCCAGAAATCTTGCTTGTTTGTAGGTGACCAAATACTTATTTTCCACCATAATTTGCAAATAAATTCATAAAAAATCCTACAATGTGATTTTCTGGATTTTTTTTTCTCAATTTGTCTGTCATAGTTGACGTGTACCTTTGATGAAAATTACAGGCCTCTCATCTTTTTAAGTGGGAGAACTTGCACAATTGGTGGCTGGCTAAATACTTTTTTCCCCCACTGTATGTACAGTGAGGGGAAAAAAGTATTTGATCCCCTGCTGATTTTGTACGTTTGCCCACTGACAAAAATGTTCAGTCTATAATTTTAATGGTAGGTTTATTTGAACAGTGAGAGACAGAATAACAACAAAAAAATCCAGAAAAACCCATGTCAAAAATGTTATAAATTGATTTGCATTTTAATGAGGGAAATAAGTATTTGACCCCTCTGCAAAACATTACTTAGTACTTGGTGGCAAAACCCTTGTTGGCAATCACAGAGGTCAGACGTTTCTTGTAGTTGGCCACCAGGTTTGCACACATCTCAGGAGGGAATTTGTCCCACTCCTCTTTGCAGATCTTCTCCAAGTCATTAAGGTTTCGAGGCTGACGTTTGGCAACTCGAACCTTCAGCTCCCTCCACAGATTTTCTATGGGATTAAGGTCTGGAGACTGGCTAGGCCACTCCAGGACCTTAATGTGCTTCTTCTTGAGCCCTTCCTTTGTTGCCTTGGCCGTGTGTTTTGGGTCATTGTCATGCTGGAATACCCATCCACGACCCATTTTCAATGCCCTGGCTGAGGGAAGGAGGTTCTCACCCAAGATTTGACGGTACATGGCCCCGTCCATCGTCCCTTTTGATGCGGTGAAGTTGTCCTGTCCCCTTAGCAGAAAAACACCCCCAAAGCATAATGTTTCCACCTCGGGGATGGTGTTCTTGGGGTCATAGGCAGCATTCCTCCTCCTCCAAACACGGCGAGTTGAGTTGATGCCAAAGAGCTCCATTTTGGTCTCATCTGACCACAACACTTTCACCCAGTTCTCCTCTGAATCATTCAGATGTTCATTGGCAAACTTCAGACGTGCATGTATATGTGCTTTCTTGAGCAGGGGGACATTGCGGGCGCTGCAGGATTTCAGTCCTTCACGGCGTAGTGTGTTACCAATTGTTTTCTTGGTGACTATGGTCCCAACTGCCTTGAGATCATTGACAAGATCCTCCCGTGTAGTTCTGGGCTGATTCCTCACCGTTCTCATGATCATTGCAACTCCACGAGGTGAGATCTTGCATGGAGCCCCAGGCCGAGGGAGATTGACAGTTATTTTGTGTTTCTTCCATTTGCGAATAATCGCACCAACTGTTGTCACCTTCTCACCAAGCTGCTTGGCGATGGTCTTGTAGCCCATTCCAGCCTTGTGTAGGTCTACAATCTTGTCCCTGACATCCTTGGAGAGCTCTTTGGTCTTGGCCATGGTGGAGAGTTTGGAATCTAATTGATTGATTGCTTCTGTGGACAGGTGTCTTTTATACAGGTAACAAGCTGAGATTAGGAGCACTCCCTTTAAGAGTGTGCTCCTAATCTCAGCTCGTTACCTGTATAAAAGACACCTGGGAGCCAGAAATGTTTCTGATTGAGAGGGGGTCAAATACTTTATTCCCTCATTTAAAATGCAAATCAATTGATATCATTTTTGACATGCATTTCTCTGGATTCTTTTGTTATTCTGTCTCTCACTGTTCAAATAAACCTACCATTAAAATTATAGACTGATCATTTCTTTGTCAGTGGGCAAACGTACAAAATCAGCAGGGGATCAAATACTTTTTTCCCTCTGTATATATGTGTATGTATGTATGCATGTGTGTATGTATGCATGTGTGTATGCATACAAACATACAGTACCAGTCAAAAGTTTGGACACCTACTCATTCAAGTTTTTTTTTCTTTTTTTCTCTACATCGTAGAATAAGAGTGAAGACATCACAACTAGGAAATAACACTTAGTAACCAAAAAAGTGTTAAACAAATCAACATTTTAGAGCTTAAATTCTTCAAAGTAGCCACCCTTTGCCTTGATGACAGCGTTGCAAGCTCTTGGAATTCTCTCAACCAGCTAAATTAGGAATGCTTTTCCAACAGTCTTGAAGGAGTTCCCACATATGCTGAGCACTTGTTGGCTGCTTTTCCTTCACTCTGCGGTCCAACTCATCCCAAACCATCTCAATTGGGTTGAGGTCGGGTGATTGTGGAGGCCAGGTCATCCGATGCAGCACTCATCACTCTCCTTGGTCAAATAGCCCTTACACAGCCTGGAGGTGTGTTTTGGGTTATTGTCCTGTTGAAAGCCCAAACCAGATGGGATGGCGAATAGCTGCAGAATGTTGTGGTAGCCATGCTGGTTAAGTGTGCCTTGAATTCTAAATACATCACAGACAGTGTTACCAGCAAAGCACCATCACACCACCTCCTCCATGCTTCATGGTGGGAACCACACATGCGGAGATTGTCTTTTCACCTACTCTGCGTCTCACAAAGACACAGCGGTTGGAACGAAAAATGTCAAATTTGGACACATCAGACCAAAGGACAGATTTCCACCGGTCTAATGTCCATTGTTCCTGTTTCTTGGCCCAAGCAAGTCGTCTTCTTATTGGTGTCCTTTAGTAGTGGTTTCTTTGCAGCAATTCGACCATGAAGGCCTGATTTCACGCAGTCTCCTCTGAACAGTTGATGTTGAGATGTGTCTGTTACTTGAACTCTGTGAAGCATTTATTTTGGCTGCAATCTGAGGTCCAGTTAACTCTAATGAACTTATCCTCTGCAGCAGAGGTAACTCTAGGTCTTCCATTCCTGTGGCGGTCCTCATGAGAGCCAGTTTCATCATCGCGCTTGATGGTTTTTGCGACTGAACTTTACCGTATTGACTGACCATATCTTAAAGTAATGATGGACTGTTGTTTCTCTTTGCTTATTTGAGCTGTTCTTGCCATAATATGGATTTGGTATTTTACCAAATAGGGCTATATTCTGTATACCCCCCTACCTTGTCACAACACAACTGATTGGCTCAAACGCAGTAAGAAGGAAGAAATTCCACAAATGAACTTTTTAAGAAGGCACACCTGTTCATTGAAATGCATTTCAGGTGACTACCTCATGAAGCTGGTTGAGAGAATGCCAAGTGTGCAAAGCTGTCATCAAGGCAAAGGGTGGCTATTTGAAGAATCTGAAATATAAAATATTTTTAGATTTGTTTAACACTTTTTTGGTTACTACACAATTCCATATGTGTTATTTCATAGTTTTGATGTCTTCACTATTATTCTGCAATGTGAAACATTTTAAAAATAAAGAAAAACCCTTGAATGAGTAGGTGTGTCCAAACTTTTGACTGGTAGTGTGTGTGTGTGAGTATATATAATCTCTCTCTCTCTGTGCCTTGACATAATCCTGTCTTGGAACTCTACAGACAATTCCTTCGACCTCATGGCTTGGTTTTTGCTCTGACATGCACTGTCAACTGTGGAACCTTTTTTATATAGACAGGTGTGTGCCTTTTTCAAATCATGTCCAATCAATTGAATTTACCACAGGTAGACTCCAATCAAGTTGTAGAAACATCTCAAGGATAATCTATGGAAACAGGATACACCTGAGCTCAATTTGGAGTCTCATAGCAAAGGGTCTGAATACTTATGTAAATAAGGTATTTCTGTTTTTAGTTTTAATACATTTGCAAACATTTCTAAAAACCTGTTTTCGCTTTGTCATTATGGGGTATTGTGTGTAGATTGATGCATGCTTACATACAGTGCATTCGGAAAGTATTCAGACCCCTTCCCTTATTCCACATTTTGTTACGTTACAGCTTTATTCCAAAATGGATACAAAAATTAAATTGACACACAACCTATAAGCTAACAGTAAAAAAAAAAATGTATTCAGAATAAAAACAGATAGCAGTGCATGTCAGAGCAAAAACCAAGACATTAGGTCAAGGGAATTGTCCGTAGATTTTCGAGACAGGATTGTGTCGAGGCACAGATCTGGGGAAGGGTACCAATAAAATTCTGCAGCATTGAAGGTCCCTAAGAACGCAGTGGCCTCCATCATTCTTGAATGGAAAAGGTTTGGAACCACCAAGTCTCTTCCTATAGCTGGCTGCCTGGCCAAACTGCGCAATCAAGGAAGAAGGGCCTTGGTCTGGGAGGTGGCCAAGAACCCGATGGTAACTCTGACAGAGCTCCACAGTTCCACTGTGGAGATGGGAGAACCTTCCAGAAGGACAACCATCTCTGCAGCACTCCACCAATCAGGCCTTTATGGTAGAGTGGCCATACGGAAGCGACTCCTCAGTAAAAGGCACATGACAGCCCGCTAGGGAGTTTGCCAAAAGGCAACTAAGCAAGGGGCACCACCAAGCAAGCGGCACCATGAAGACCAAGGAGCTCTCCAAACAGGTCAGGGACAAAGTTGTGTAGAAGTACAGATCAGGGTTGGGTTATAAAAAAAATATCCGAAACTTTGAACATCCCACAGAGCACCATTAAATCCATGATTAAAAAATGGAAAGAATATAGCACCACAACAAACCTGCCAAGAGGGGGCCGCCCACCAAAACTCATGGACCAGGCAAGGAGGGCATTAATCAGAGGCATCAAAGAGACCAAAGATAACCCTGAAGGAGCTGCAAAGCTCCACAGCGGAGTTTGGAGTATCTGTCCATAGGACCACTTTAAGCCGTACACTCCACAGAGCTGGGCTTTATGGAAGAGTGGCCAGAAAAACGCCATTGCTTAAAGAAATAAATAAGCAAACACTTTTGGTGTTCGCCAAAAGGCATGTGGGAGACTCTCCAAACATATGGAAGAAGGTACCCTGGTCAGATGAGATTAAAATTGAGGTTTTTTGGCCATCAAGGAAAACGCTATGTCTGGCGCAAACCCAACACCTCTCATCACCCCGAGAACACCATCTCCACAGTGAAGCGTGGTGGCAGCATCATGCTGTGGGGATGTTTTTCATCAGCAGGGACTGGGAAACTGATCAGAATTCAAGGAATGATGGAAACCTGTTTCAGTCTCCCAGAGATGTGAGACTGGGACGGAGGTTCACCTTCCAGCAGGACAATGACCCTAAGCATACTGCTAAAGCAACACTCGAGTGGTTCAAGAGGAAACATTTAAATGTCTTGGAATGTCCTAGTCAAAGCCCAGACCTCAATCCAATTGAGAATCTGTGGTATGACTTAAAGATTGCTGTACACCAGCGGAACCCATCCAACGTGAAGGAGCTGGAGCAGTTTTGCCTTGAAAAATGGGCAAAAATCCCAGTGGCTAGATGTGCCAAGCTTATAGAGACATACCCCAAGAGACTTGCAGCTGTAATTGCTGCAAAAGGTGGCTCTGAGTATTGACTTTGGGGGGGTGAATAGTTATGCACGCTCAAGTTTTCTGTGTTTTTATCATTTCTTGTTTGTTTCACCAAAAAAACATATTTTGCATCTTCAAAGTGGTAGGCATGTTGTGTAAATCAAATGATACAAACCCCCCCGAAAATCAATTTTAATTCCAGGTTGTAAGGCAACAAAATAGAAAAAATTGGAAGTATTGTGCTACATACGCCCCTTTTTATGAGAGTCACACAAGTGCCCGCCTTTTTCTCTTTGTAAGAAATCATTGTAGCATAGGCCTATACCATGTCGAAGCCATGTTTACATATTGATTTTACACGCATTTTGCACTTTATTTTAGTGTTGTCGTTGATGAGTAATTGTATGTTTTCATTTAAGAAAATACAAAGTGTTGGTATTCCTGATTTTCTGTTCTCATCAGGCATTATGACTCATGATCATATATGGAATCAGGAATACCAAGTTTTGTATTTTCTTAAATAAACAAAAATTAACTGCATTTCATTTTCCCGCTGTACCGAAACCGAACTGTGACCCCAAAACCGCAATACGTACCGAACCATGGGTTTGGTGAATCATTGCACCCCCACATACAGTACCTCACTCAGTGCTGTCTGCTGTTCACTGTGGTTTAAGTGTGTTTTAACTCTGCGGAATCCCCCGGGGCTGTTGTCTCTGGCCACCAACTCCTCGATCATCTCTCGGGCCTTCTGCTGCACCTCACTGCTTCCAAATATTTACACCTCACCCTCATAGTCCCCCTAGTTGATCTACAACACGCACGCAGGGAAGTTACCTCTACGGGGGTGGCTTTTGATTAGGTGTAGTGTAGAAAATTCATTAAAGAAATAAGCAAATGCAATGTCTAACGTTAAGTTAATTTACTCTAGCATGCCATATTCAGTTAAATTAGGCTAGTGATGGCAGTTGTGGAGACAGGCACTTATGGTAGTAAGGACATAAATTATATTATGCTCTAGGCCCTGTTGAAGTTTGTAAGAGAAGAGCCGTTATTTGTCAGGTCGTTTGCCATTGTATAAGCAAACAAAACTTGTCTGGGGATGGTGGAGGTTATGATGACGAACCTGTTCAGAATATCTTTTGAATTATACTCAGTCCTCGACCAAACTCTACTTCAATACAAGCGCCTTGGACCAATCAATGCCCACAACGGTTATCACGGCAACCGTTAACAACCTACAACACTCTCCCTGCCGCCTGTGTTTTTAACGAAGGCTTTGTGTCCGTGTTCCCATCCAATGAGAGAGGCCAGCGGGTGTGCCCTGTCCAAAGTGATGCCAGGCTGGCTGCTTGTGATTGTCCCTCGGGGAGTAATCCCACAGGGAGGAAAAGGTCAGCAGATCGCTGGTAGTTGATTGGGGAGTAAAGGACGGGGGGGGTAGAGGGACTGGGAGGGTTTCACTGTGGTACACTGTGCTCCAGTCCTCAGCTATATCTGATTGCACACTGACTTGTGACGTTAAACATACAAGATGTTAAAAATACAAGTCCATTGAATTCCCAGGGTTGAGTGAGTCAGGAATGTGTTGTTTCCTTATATCTGAAATTGAGCCCCTTAAGTGTAATGGCCGTATTTTCATTTGGTCCTATTTGTTTTTTCTTTGACGTGTGATGAGAGATCCACAGATCAGCATTGTAAATACTGTGGTATTTCTGTCTATTACAATGTCCAGTGATTTGTTGTTGGATACACTTCTCGTTTGGGTTTGCTTCCTTTCTCCTCTTAAGGGTCACTGGTCAAGTGATCATTCTCATTCTTTAACCATCTCTAAATGCTCTTTGTGTAGGATCTGGCCATCAACACACACGTAAAGCTTACATTATCTCTGTGAATAATATTGATTTAATCTGGTTGCTTTTGCCTTACAGGAGCGAAATGCGGAGAATGCCATTGAAGCGCTCAAAGAGTACGAGCCGGAGATGGGAAAGGTGTACCGGCAGGACAGGAAGAGTGTGCAGCGGATCAAGTCCAGGGACCTTGTACCAGGGGACATTGTGGAGGTGGCCGGTAAGATGCTTCCAATACACGGGGTGGGGGGGGTCAAAACATTTGCCCACCCCTGCGCCATCCCAGTTATGCATGTCTGCTTAGCTTTGATAACCCAGTGTTGTGTGATCACTGAATATTTTTTTCAGAGTGCAGGTGTGTCAGTTTATTAGGGATGGGCATCTTTCCCTTTTAAGACGATTCGATACGTATCTAGATACATGGGCTCCGATACGATACAGGGACGATACGTTTTAGTTTGGTGCGATTTCGGTTTGATTAGAGAATTAATCAATACGATTCGATACATAAACATTCATTTTCCATTCTAAATTCAAATCTGCTTCTGATAAGCTCATGAGCTGGGCCTCTCTGAGCTGACCTGTGTGTGTACATGTGTATGTCTATGGTGTATGTAGTAGGGCTGGGTGATATATCAAAATAATTTGATTAATTAAAATGTATGTTTTAGCGCGGTATTCCAAATACCTCTATTCCAAGAATAGTGGGGTTTTTCTTCTGTTTTTATGAGCGTTTATGTCCACTTGTTCTCATGTTGTCTTTTTGGTCTCGTCACCATCACTCTTTCTGTGCTGTCTGCACCTTCCCATTTACACACACAAACACACACACACACACCAAGCCCCTCCCCCAGCCACTCACAACAACAAAGATTAGATGTTTATTTATTTTTCACAAAATTAAAATCACAGTGCAGTTATCACAAAAGTACCACTAACTAATACTTTTTTTTGCAATTTTATTAACCAGAGCTGTAATGCACGAGGGAGAGCAAGAGGCTCGAAGCAGAGCAGCAGCTCTTGTGAGTGACGCTGGGAGTAGGGAGGGGGAGATATAGCAAACAAGTTGACACGCGCTGGTAGATTAAGTTATTGCTAGTTACACTCAGTGGCCAGTTTATTAGGTTCACTCCTACAGAAAGTGAGTCACGTAGCCGTGGCTTGCTATATAAACCAGACAGATGGGTGTAGAGGCATTCAGTTACTGTTCGATTGGGTGTGGTATGATCGTCCGGGCCAGTTCCAGTATCTCAGAAACGTCCGGCCTAGTGAGCTTTTCACGCGGGACGTCTAGGGTTTACCAAGAATGGTGCGACAAACAAAACATCCAGTCAGCGGCAGTCGTGTGGGCGAAAACAGCTCGTTGACGAGAGATCGAAGGACAATGTCAAGAATCGTGCAAGCATACAGGCAAATAACGGCGCAGTACAACAGTGGTGTGCAGAACGGCATCTCAGAACACACACAACTCGTCGATCCTTGTCACGGATTGGCTATTGCAGCAGACGACCACACCTGGTTCCACTCCTATCGGCTAAAAACAAGAAGCGACTCCAGTGAGCACGCGATCACCAACACTGGACAATTTGAGGAATGGAAAAACATTGCCTGGTCCGACGGATTCCGGTTCCTGTTGCGTCATGCTGATGGCAGAGTCAGGATTTGGCTTAAGCCGCATGAGTCCATGGCCCCATCCTGTCTGGTGTCAATGGTACAGGCTGGTGGTGTAATGGTGTGAGGAATGTTTTCCTGGCACACGTAAGGTCCCTTGATACCAATTGAGCAACATTTGAACGTTTCCAACACCTTGTAGATTCAATGCCCCAAAGTATTCAGGCTGTTCAGGAGGCAAAGGGGGGTCTGACCCGGTACTAGATGGGTGTACCTAATGAACTGACCAAAATGAATGCTCAGTTTGTCGTGCCCGGCATTGCGGTACCACGTACCACTAGCAGCGTTTTACTAGTGGAAAGTGGATACCTAGTCATTTGCACAAGTGAATGCATTCAACCAAAATGTTTATTCCGCATTTTAACCCAACACCTCTGAATCAATTAATTGTTGTCCATGTCATCGGCGCCCGAGGGTCAGATGTTGGGGGTTAACTGCCTTGCTCAAGGGCAGAACGGTAGATTTTTCCACCTTGCCGGCTCAGGGATTCGAACCAGTGACCTTTCGATTACTGGCCCAACACTCTTAACCGCTAGGCTACCTGCTGCCCCCACACTAGCTGTCTAGTCTGTATTTTATAAGTGTGCAATAAGCATAAAACCCATTTATGTAAGGAATTGGCAACTCGTTCTCATTCTGAGAAATAAGGTAGGCCACTTGTTTTCAACATCTGAACAAATATATATATATCTCATCAAAAAAAGAAACGTCCTCTCACTGTCAACTGCATTAATTTTCAGCGAACTTAACATGTGTAAATAGTTCCACAGACATGTGACTAACAGAAATGGAATAATGTGTCCCCGAACAAAGGGAGTGTCAAAATCAAAAGTAACAGTCCGTATCTGGTGTGGCCACCAGCTGCATTAAGTACTGCAGTGAATCTCCTCCTCATAGACTGCACCAGATGTGCCAGTTCTTGCTGTGAGATGTTACCCCACTCTTCCACCAAGGCACCTGCAAGTTCCCTGACATTTCTGGGGGGAATGGCCCTAGCCTTCACCCTCCGATCCAACAGGTCCCAGACCTGCTCAATGGGATTGAGATCCGGGCTCTTCGCTGGCCATGGCAGAACACTGACATCCCTGTCTTGCAGGAAATCACGCACAGAACGAGCAGTATGGCTGGTGGCATTGTCATGCTGGATGGTCATGTCAGGATGAACCTGCAGGAAGGGTACCACATGAGGGAGGAGGATGTCTTCCCTGTAACGCACAGCGTTGAGATTGCCTGCAACGACAAAAAGCTCAGTCCGATGATGCTGTGACACACCGCCCCAGACCATGACGGACCCTCCACCTCCAGATCGATCCCACTCCAGAGTACAGGCCTCGTGTAACGCTCATTCCTTCGACGATAAACGCGAATCCGACCATCACCCCTGGTGAGACAAAACCGCGACTCGTCAGGTGAAGAGCACTTTTTGCCAGTCCTGTCTGGTCCAGCGACGGTGGGTTTGTGCCCATAGGCGACGTTGTTGCCAGTGATGTCTGTTGAGGACCTGCCTTACAACAGGCCTACAAGCCGTAAGTCCAGCCTCTCTCAGCCTATTGCGGACAGTCTGAGCACTGATGGAGGAATTGTGCGTTCCTGGTGTAACTTGGGCAATTGTTGCCATCCTGTACCTGTCCCGCAGGTGTGCTGTTCGGATGTACCGATCCTGTGCAGGTGTTGTTACACGTGGTCTGCCACTGCGAGGATGATCAGCTGTCTGTCCGGTCTCCCTGTAGCGCTGTCTTAGGCATCTCACAGTACGGACATTGCAATTTATTGCCCTGGCCACATCTGCAGTCCTCATGCCTCTTTGCAGCATGCGTAAGGCACGTTCACGAAGATGAGCAGGGATCCTGGGCATCTTTCTTCTGGTGTTTTTCAGAGTCAGTAGATAGGCCTCTTTAGTGTCCTAACTTTTCATAACTGTGACCTTAATTGCCTACTGTCTGTAAATTGTTAGTGTCTTAACGAGCGTTCCACAGGTGCATGTTCATTGTTTATGGTTCATTGAACAAGCATAGGAAACGGTGTTTAAACCCTTTACAATGAAGATCTGTGAAGTTATTTGGATTTTTACTAATTATCTTTGAAAGACAGGGTCCTGAAAAAGGGAAGTTTCTTTTTTTGCTGAGTTTGTTTATATATATATACATATACGCACATATACATATACGCACATATACATATACGCACATATACATATACGCACACACACACACAGTGGGGAGAACAAGTATTTGATACACTGCCGATTTTGCAGGTTTTCCTACTTACAAAGCATGTAGAGGTCTGTAATTTTTATCATAGGTACACTTCAACTGTGAGAGACGGAATCTAAAACAAAAATCCAGAAAATCACATTGTATGATTTTAAAGTAATTAATTTGCATTTTATTGCATGACATAAGTATTTGATCACCTACCAACCAGTAAGAATTCCGGCTCTCACAGACCTGTTAGTTTTTGTTTAAGAAGCCCTCCTGTTCTCCACTCATTACCTGTATTAACTGCACCTGTTTGAACTCGTTACCTGTATAAAAGACACCTGTCCACACACTCAATCAAACAGACTCCAACCTCTCCACAATGGCCAAGACCAGAGAGCTGTGTAAGGACATCAGGGATAAAATTGTAGACCTGCACAAGGCTGGGATGGGCTACAGGACAATAGGCAAGCAGCTTGGTGAGAAGGAAACAACTGTTGGCGCAATTATTAGAAAATTGAAGAAGTTCAAGATGACGGTCAATCACCCTCGGTCTGGGGCTCCATGCAAGATCTCACCTCGTGGGGCATCAATAATCATGAGGAAGGTGAGGGATCAGCCCAGAACTACACGGCAGGACCTGGTCAATGACCTGAAGAGAGCTGGGACCACAGTCTCAAAGAAAACCATTAGTAACACACTATGCCGTCATGGATTAAAATCCTGCAGAGCACGCAACGTCCCCCTGCTCAAGCCAGCGCATGTCCAGGCCCATCTGAAGTTTGCCAATGACCATCTGGATGATCCAGAGGAGGAATGGGAGAAGGTCATGTGGTCTGATGATACAAAAATAGAGCTTTTTGGTCTAAACTCCACTCGCCGTGTTTGGAGGAAGAAGAAGGATGAGTACAACCCCAAGAACACCATCCCAACCGTGAAGCATGGAGGTGGAAACATCATTCTTTGGGGATGCTTTTCTGCAAAGGGGACAGGACGACTGCACCGTATTGAGGGGAGGATGGATGGGGCAATGTATTGTGAGATCTTGGCCAACAACCTCCTTCCCTCAGTAAGAGCATTGAAGATGGGTCGTGGCTGGGTCTTCCAGCATGACAACGACCCGAAACACACAGCCAGGGCAACTAAGGAGTGGGTCCGTAAGAAGCATCTCAAGGTCCTGGAGAGGCCTAGCCAGTCTCCAGACCTGAACCCAATAGAAAGTCTTTGGAGGGAGCTGAAAGTCCGTATTGCCCAGCGACAGCCCCGAAACCTAAAGGATCTGGAGAAGGTCTGTATGGAGGAGTGGGCCAAAAATCCCTGCTGCAGTGTGTGCAAACCTGGTCAAGACCTACAGGAAACGTATGATCTCTGTAATTGCAAACAAAGGTTTCTGTACCAAATATTAAGTTCTGCTTTTCTGATGTATCAAATACTTATGTCATGCAATAAAATGCAAATTAATTACTTAAAAATCATACAATGTGATTTTCTGGATTTTTGTTTTAGATTCCGTCTCTCACAGTTGAAGTGTACCTATGATAAAAATTACAGACTTCTACATGCTTTGTAAGTAGGAAAACCTGCAAAATTGGCAGTGTATCAAATACTTGTTCTCCCCACTGTGTGTGTGTGTGTGTGTGTGTGTGTGTGTGTATATATATACACACACACACACACACACACACACACACACACACACACAGTGGGGGAAAAAAGTATTTAGTCAGCCACCAGTTGTGCAAGTTCTCCCACTTAAAAAGATGAGAGAGGCCTGTAATTTTCATCATAGGTACACGTCAACTATGACAGACAAAATGAGGAAAATAAATCCAGAAAATCACATTGTAGGATTTTTAATGAATGTATTTGCAAATTATGGTGGAAAATAAGTATTTGGTCAATAACAAAAGTTTCTCAATACTTTGTTATATACCCTTTGTTGGCAATGACACAGGTCAAACGTTTTCTGTAAGTCTTCACAAGGTTTTCACACACTTTTGCTGGTATTTTGGCCCATTCCTCCATGCAGATCTCCTCTAGAGCAGTGATGTTTTAGGGCTGTCGCTGGGCAACAAAGACTTTCAACTCCCTCCAAAGATTTTCTATGGGGTTGAGATCTGGAGACTGGCTAGGCCACTCCAGGACCTTGAAGTGCTTCTTACGAAGCCACTCCTTCGTTGCCCGGGCGGTGTGTTTGGGATCATTGTCATGCTGAAAGACCCAGCCACGTTTCATCTTCAATGCCCTTGCTGATGGAAGGAGATTTTCACTCAAAATCTCACGATACATGGCCCCATTCATTCTTTCCTTTACACGGATCAGTCGTCCTGGTCCCTTTGCAGAAAAACAGCCCCAAAGCATGATGTTTCCACCCCCATGCTTCACAGTAGGTATGCTGTTCTTTGGATGCAACTCAGCATTCTTTGTCCTCCAAACACGACGAGTTGAGTTTTTACCAAAAAGTTATATTTTGGTTTCATCTGACCATATGACATTCTCCCAATCCTCTTCTGGATCATCCAAATGCACTCTAGCAAACTTCAGATGGGCCTGGACATGTAATGGCTTAAGCAGGGGGACACGTCTTGCACTGCAGGATTTGAGTCCCTGGCGGCGTACTGTGTTACTGATGGTAGGCTTTGTTACTTTGGTCCCAGCTCTCTGCAGGTCATTCACTAGGTCCCCCCGTGTGGTTCTGGGATTTTTGCTCACCGTTCTTGTGATCATTTTGACCCCACGGGGTGAGATCTTGCGTGGAGCCCCAGATTGAGGGAGATTATCGGTGGTCTTGTATGTCTTCCATTTCCTAATAATTCCTCCCACAGTTGATTTCTTCAAACCAAGCTGCTTACCTATTGCAGATTCAGTCTTCCCAGCCTGGTGCAGGTCTACAATTTTGTTTCTGGTGTCCTTTGACAGCTCTTTGGTCTTGGCCATAGTGGAGTTTGGAGTGTGACTGTTTGAGGTTGTGGACAGGTGTCTTTTATACTGATAACAAGTTCAAACAGGTGCCATTAATACAGGTAACGAGTGGAGGACAGAGGAGCCTCTTAAAGAAGAAGTTACAGGTCTGTGAGAGCCAGAAATCTTGCTTGTTTGTAGGTGACCAAATACTTATTTTCCACCATTTGCAAATAAATTCATTAAAAATCCTACAATGTGATTTTCTGGATTTTTTTTCTCAATTTGTCTGTCACAGTTGACGTGTACCTATGATGAAAATTACAGGCCTCTCATCTTTTTAAGTGGGAGAACTTGCACAATTGGTGGCTTACTAAATACTTTTTCCCCCCACTGTGTGTGTGTGTATATATATATATATATATATAAATATATATATATAAATGTGTGTGTGTGTGTGTGTGTGTGTATATATATGAATGCATTTCAATTAACAGGTGTGCCTTCTTAAAAGTTAATTTGTGGAATTTCTTTCCTTCTTAATGCTTTTGAGCCAATCAGTTGTGTTGTGACAAGGTAGGGGGGGGGGGTATACAGAAGAGAGCCCTATTTGGTAAAATAACAAGTCCATATTATGGCAAGAACGGCTCAAATAAGCAAAGAGAAACAACAGTCCATCATTACTATAAGACATGGTCAGTCAATACGGTAAATCTCAAGAACTTAGAAAGTTTCTTCAAGTGCAGTCGTAAAAACCATCAAGCGCGATGATGAACCTGGCTCTCATAAGGACCACCACAGGAATGGAAAACCCAGAGTTACCTCTGCTGCATTTTGTTACGACCTGAATTTAAAATGGATTACATTGAGATTTTGAGCCACTGATTTACACACAATACCCCACAATGTAAAAAATCTAACATTTTGTTTTTAGAATTTTTTTGAAATAAATTCAAAGCTGAAATGTCCTAAGTCAATAAGTATCCAACCACTTTTATGGCAAGCCTAAATATGTTCAGGAGAGACATTCACCTTTCAGCAGGACAATAACCTAAAACACAAGGCCAAATATACACATTGAATGTTCCTTAGGGGCCTAGTTACAGTTTTGACTTATAGTGCATTCGGAAAGTATTCAGACCCAGTGACTTTTTCCACGTTTTGTTACGTTACAGCCTTATCCTAAAATTGATTAAATATTTTTTTACCACATCAATCTACACATTACCCCATACTAGGTAAAAAATCTGTCGATGTGCCCTTGAGCAAGGCACTTAACCCTAATTGCTCCTGTAAGTCGCTCTGGATAAGAGCGTCTGCTAAATGACTAAAAATGTAAATGTAATAATGACAAAGCAAAAACAGGTTTTTAAAAATTATTGCAAATGTATTACAAATAAACTGAAATATCACATTTACATAAGTATTCAGACCCTTTACTGTACTTTGTTGAAGCACCTTTGGCAGCGATTACAGCCTCGAGTCTTCTTGGGTATGACGCTACAAATTTGGCACACTTGTATTTGGAGTTTCTCCCATTCTTCTCTGCAGATCCTCTCAAGCTCAGGTTGGATGGGGAGCGTCGCTACACAGCTGTTTTTTGGTCTCTCCCGAGATGTTAGATCGGGATCAAATCCGGGCCCTGGCTGGGCCACTCAAGGACATTCAGAGACTTGTCCCGAAGCCACTCCTGTGTTGTCTTGGCTGTGTGCTTAGGGCTGTTGTCTTGTTGGAAGGTGAACCTTCGCCCAGTCTGAGGTCCTGAGCAATCTGGAGCAGGTTTTCATCAAGGATCTCTCTGTACTTTGCTCCGTTCATCTTTGCCTCGATCCTGACTAGTCTCCCAGTCCCTGCCGCTGAAAAACATCCCCACAGCATGATGCTGCCACCACCATGCTTCACCGTAGGGATGGTGCCAGGTTTCCTCCAGACGTGACACTTGGCATTCAGGCCAAAGAGTTCAATCTTGGTTTCATCAGACCAGAGAATCTTGTTTCTCATGGTCTGAGAGTCCTTTAGGTGCCTTTTGGCAAACTCCAAGCGGGCTCTCATGTGCCTTTTACTGAGGAGTGGCTTCCGCTTGGCCACTACCATAAAGGCCTGATTGGCGGAGTGCCGTAGCGATGGTTGTCCTTCTGGAAGGTTCTCCCATCTCTCCAGAGGAACTTCTCCTCCGATTGCTCAGTTTGTCCAGGCGGCCAGCTCTAGGAAGAGTCTTGGTGGTTCCAAACTTCTTCCATTTAAGAATGATGGAGGCCACTCTGTTCTTGGGGACCTTCAATGCTGTTTTTTTGTACCCTTCCACAGATCTGTGCCTCGTCACAATCCTGTCTCGCAGCTCTACGGACAATTCCTTTAACCTCATGGCTTGGTTTTTGCTCTGACATGCACTGTCAGCTGTGGGACCTTACATGGACAGGTGTGTGCCTTTCCAAATCATGTCCAGTCAATTGAATTTACCACATGTGGACTCCAAGTTGTAGAAACATCTCAAGGATGAACAATGGAAACGAGATGCACCTGAGCTCAATTTCGAGTCTCATAGCAAAGGGTCTGAATACTTATGTAAATAAGGTATTTCGGTTGTTGTTTTTTTATACATTTGCACAAATTTCTAAAAACCTGTTTTCGCTTTGTCATTATGGGGTATTGTGTGTAGATTGAGGAAAAGGGAAGGGGTCTGAATACTTTCTGAATGTGCTATAAATCGGCTTGAAAATGTATACCAAGACTTGAAAATGGCTGTCTAACAATGATCAACAACCAACTTGACAGCACTTGAAGAGTTTAAAAAAGATTAACAGGCAAATATTGTGCAATCCATGTGTGCAACACTATAAGATACTTTTTCCCAAAAGACGCACAGCTGTAATCGATGCCAAAGGTGATTTTAACTTGTATTGACTCAGGGGGTTGAATACTTATCAAGATATTAGTGTTTTTATTTGGAAAATACATTGGAATATTTGGTGGAGATGGTAAAAAGACCCAAGACAAATCAATTTTAATCCCCAATTTGTAACACAACAAAATCTTGAAAAAGTCAAGGGGTGTGAATACTTTCAGCACAACTTTTGGATTTCACCCCCATCTCAATATCGAATGGTTTTGAATGTTTTTACATTTTTACGGCGTGATCTTCTTCTCTCGCTCCGGCCATGCAGTGCGCCTCACAAAAGTGATTGCTGTCCTCGTTATGAAATTATCAAGGTTACCCTGTATATCTAAAAATGACCATATACACTATTTGTTTAAAGCAAATCTACCAAAACTATTGCTAACGGTGAACCTGAACAATCAAAATAAAATCAATTGTAAGGCTCGTTCAGCAATTATAGCCAGATGAGAGTTGTCTCCGGTATCTTACTTTTCTAACAGCGCATAGATAGCAATAACCTAACAAATTGCATAGGTTTTAGCTCTACTAATAAAGCCTAGTATCACGCAAGCCATTTTAGAATTTGAATGCTGAAGGAGCCCAGCAGATGTGCAAGATCAGGAACAGGCCGCCTACCTCGCGTTGGTCAGCACGCGAAGCTGGGCACAGCACGCAGTTTGACTAGGCTATTGCCTGGGGTTGTTCGGCATACAAAATTACTTGTAGATTTATGACTGTCAACACAGTTACATGCAGTTTGACACTAAAGGAGAGGAAGCATCAGTTGTTACAGAAGATGAGGTATTTTCCTAAGGTATAAAGAATTTAATATAAGCACCCAAAAAATGTGAACAGGTGCAAGACCGCGGAACGATGCACATGTATCTTAAACATTTGAATCTGGGACCGATGCGTATCTGTGAATCGTTACACAAACAACTATAAAAACGGTAGGAATGTATTTCATATGCATGCATGTTCTGTCATGTAAGCAGAGAGATCAAAGCTGTGTTGCTCCTGATCTCCCCAGTCTCTCTTGCATGCTAAACCAGGAGAGAGGACACCGCCTGGCATTTGCTCTGCTAATTGATTTACAGAAACGTTCACTGCCATTGACGCCCCCAAACACCGTATTTGATCTTGGCTAGTGAATGTTGTTTCAAAGTCTGATTTAGACAATTTAGATGAGCCCTACCTTTTATAGAGTTTGACCTTTCATTGGAATTAAGTTGAAATGTCAGTCCTGAGTTGAACCCTTTGTTTACTTCATCACCTCCAATGCTCTACACTTGTCAGAGTGGACGCTCTAGCCAACAACAGATCCTCTCAATGTAGAACTGGCAACTGTTCAGCCCCCTCTGTCTGCCCCTCTCTCTCATATTGAATGGCACTGGAGGAAGTTGTTTGAATGTGAACTCTCCCATGCTGTTGTAAAATCGACCTGTACGTCACCTGGCTGCAGTGGGACAGGTACTTGAGATAATAGATTGAGTAGGCTCTGCTAAAAAGCGAAGTAATTTGCGATAGCAGGCTCTCATCAACAGTGTTTGGGATGTAGATGAGTCTCTCCTCTAACTCATACATCCATTCTGCTAAACACTGCTCATCTCCCTGACTAATACAATACAATAGCGGCACCAGGTGAGTGGAGCTGCCTGTTACATAAGACCATGTGAGAACTGTGAATGGATTGAGAGGTTCATATAAAATGAGTCTCTCTGTGTGTGGGTGAGTGAAAGGGGGGTTGTGTGATTGCTAGGACATGGGAATTGCATATGGGAATAGAATAGGGTTACAGTGAAATCAGAATACAGTGGCCTCAAAAACCCGATGTCCCCTCAGGCTCTTTGGATCCACAACCCTTTCCCACGACTTCCTTCCTCTTGTCATCCGGACCCGGCCTCCTCACAGATTGGCTATTCTCCTTCTGCTTCACCCAATTCATGGCCCTGTCCTTTCCCCTTTTACTCTTCTTGTCTTGCTCTCTCTGTCACCCAGATTTCTAGAAAATGACTTTTCTTTCTCTCTGCCTCAAAGGAAAGGTTGGAGGGGGTTTTTCCCACTCCTGCCACCGCACTCAGGAAGTGGAATGAAGGGCTTTAGTTAACCCCTCACGCTCCATTTTCAGAGTAACAGGAGTAACTACATACCATAAAGGCAGAGTACGTGGACCTTTGTGCGGTGAGTAAGGAGAGGAGTTGATACATGACTTGAATGCTATGTAGCTAAGTGCCATGTTTAAAGTAGCATCTGCTTTATATCCTGGCCCAGAGTCCTCAGAGCTGCCAAAGAGGAATCTTAAGTCTTGTCAAGGGTAAGGGTTTAAACAGAGTTCTGTGTACAATATGCAGTGTTTGTACGTCGGTGACCGCTCGTGTGTTTGTGTTATCTCGTGAATATCCCACCTTTTGGCTTTATGTAAGCAGAGTGCACAACGTGCCATGTTCAAGCCTTCCTCCTACCCACCACATCTCTCCCCTCCGAAGAGTGAGTCAGAGCTGACAGGCTGGGCTGGAGCCGCTGTCTCCACCGTCTGGATCCCAGTGACCTTGGAAGTCTACCGGCAAGACGACACCCACCTACCTACCTTCCACTTGCTTACTCACATACTGTAAATGTTTTATTCATTTGTTTACTTGTCAAAGACCACGCACAGTTTTGTTTGCGGCACACACCGAAATGTTCAGTCCATCTCTTACACACTCTGATTTGCTGCTCATCTGCAAACAGTCAAACCAATCAGTGCCGTCATGTCAAATCTCAAACGCTACACCTGCCTTCCTTTAGAATGCATCAATGATCCGGTATCTCCCAACTGTTAGACCAAAATAAACACGTTTTCCATGACTGCGTGGTTTTCATGTAAGTTGCTCAAAATAGTCTGTCCCCAACATTTTGTCCCCCAAAAATGTGTGCGTGTCTGCCATGGTATGGGCTGCCTCCTGGTGTCATTTGGGGTCATACCTGACTGCAAACCATGTGATCAGGGTTCCTTCTCTTCCACTGAGATTGTGACAGTGATGGGTTGGCGACAGGATGCTACCGACCCCTCAGAGACTATAAACACGTAGTGATGGTGTTAACAAGGGTGGAGGGGATGACCTGAATATGAGCTGTGGCGCGTGCCAGAAACCTTAGACTGCCTTCACCACCACACACCACCTCAGCTGTGGCTTTCACTTTAACCGCCTGGCTTCAACCCCCCCTAAGAGGGAGAGGGCAACCATGCATTCACCAGGGACGTGAGAGCGGGAGCCTGGGCTAAGCAGCTGTCAAGCCTAGGTTTAGCTTCCAGTGTTACTGCTAACAGTAGCTTACAGTGGCATTCTCAGGGACTCTGCGAAAGGTTGCCTGCTAGATAGATTCCCACCCTCTTCTCCTCCCTCGTTGTTCTATTCACCTACAGTTGGCTATCAGTAACAGGGATTCTGTGTTGTAACACGTTGGAACAGCAGCAGTTCTTCATCTTTCACCAGCTCTCCTTCCAGGACATGTTTTTCTTCCAGCCGAGCTGACTACCATCACCTCCCACCATGCCATGGCAATAACCCTGACCCCCCTGTATATAGGAAAAACAAGCGTGGCCTTTCTCTCTGTCTCTGTGTGGCTGGCAGTGTGCTTGTGTGACCCAGTTTTGTAATGTGTGTGTGTGTGAGTTGGACCACAGCAGGCTCTGGCTTTGTGGTCTTGTTGCCTTCTACAACATCCCACCATGGCAGTGCTGGTGAGGTGGTCCAAGGGGCATAGACAGGATCTAACATTTACAAAGGGCAAGATTTTATCAGATAAATCATTAGCGAACCAGATGGTTGCACTTTCCTTTCATGTGTTTAGAGGCCAGAATGGTCTGTCTTTTGTCCTCTCTCAAGCGATCCGTTTAACTCTCTACCCCGTCCATCTTTCCCTCTTCTCATCTGCCTCTCTTCATCCTCCCTTTTCTCATTATACTTTTTTCTTTCTTCTTCATTACACAACCGACACTAAGGGGCTGCCTGATTTTATTAGGTCATGGATGTAGGTTCACACAGCATGCTGTGTATCTCCAGCTCTTTGTTTATGTACCTTGGGTTTGATGATGGCTCCTTTCTCTTACCATTCATGAGAACAGCAGGTGGTTCCCTGTGGACTTTGACTGCGTGAAACGACCGGGAAACTTCAGGCCTACATGCAACCTCGCCGGAGAACTGTAGGAGCAAAATCAAACCTCCCTGGCCACTGATGAGCCAGGGCTGGCGAGTGGTGTGGGTGATTGTTTAGGCTACCTGTTTACAAGGAATGGAGGGTGGATATGAACCGCTTTCTGTTGTGATCTGTAGTAACACATTTTACACAGCTCCACACAGGCATTCAGGAGCACCACTGCAGTTTAGGCCAGGTTCCATGTCACAACGTGTGCGTTTGTGAGTGTTAAAATTTTATTTGCTGAAGAGGATCCCCTTTGCCATGGCCTTCGTAGGCTGATGGAGTGATAACACTCAAGTACCTGTTGCCTGACATTTGTCTTTCTCTCTCGCTCAAGGGGGTTGATTGGATCCTCTTTGATGTCTGGGGAGGAAAAGGTCCCCAACCTGGAAGAGACAATCTTCCTTTCTCAGTAATATGGACAGCTAAATAAAGCCTCATTCACCATGCTGATGTAGAGGGTGACCGTTGGCACGGGTTGTCAAAGCCATAGCGACATCCGAGGAGGCGGAGCGATACTCGGCCCTGCACTAAAATCAACTATATGCATTTAGCTTGTCTGGTGCTTAAAGCTTACGGTTTGATGAAATAAGACAAATGCCTCGAGGGCCCCAGAGATCTAGATAACCAGAAGAAGAAGAAAAAAAAGTTACCTGACCCAACTATTCTCCTCCTGCTGGCTTTTGCAGATTCTGCCCTTACTCTCCTGAAGTTGCCGATAATAGGCTACACGAGGAGTCGGCAACCTTTCTCATGTGGAATGCCAATTTATTTTACAGTTTCTACCGATCTGCATGGCAGTTATGGTTTTCATATGCACATTTTCGTGGAACAGTTTAGTTTAATTTATAATAACGTCTTCATATCTCAAAATCATTGTCATGTGGTTAATCAAAATTCTATCAATGAAAATGATTCAAACCTAAAAATTGTCTTCTATTGCCATTGCAAACTAATGTAAAAAAATAGCCTACATTTTACATTTACATTTTAGTCATTTAGCAGACGCTCTTATCCAGAGTGACTTACAGTTAGTGAGTGCATAAATTTTTCATACTGGACCCCCGTGGTAATCAAACCCACAATCCTGGCGTTGCAAGCGCCATGCTCTACCAACTGAGCTACAGGAGGGCCAACAAATAAAAACATTGCAGCCTACAGGTAGAAAATATCCTGATAAAAATAAATATCCTATAAATCACATTGGCTACACATGGCCTGTCTGCAACGAAGTTGAAACATTGTATTAACTATTAACTTGGGTCAGGCCTGAAGCTTGCACTAGTGAACTTGCAACATTGTATAAAATATTCTGGGCCCTCAGTTTCCCTCACCAGTGAGCTCAGGACAGACACAGCTGTAGGCTATTTGCGCAAGGGATAAGAAGCTTGGGCAGGAGCTCACTTGAGCTGATTACCGGCACCTCAAATGTTCTACTGCTTGAGCTCCTGTATCTCTTATAGAGTATTAGCTCAAAAGTACACGCATTTAGCAGATGTTATAGCGGTGTAGTGAAATGCTTGTGCTTCTAGCTCCGACAGTGCAGTAATATCTAACAATTACACAACATATACCCAATACACACAAAACTAATAAGGAATGGGATTTAAGAATATATACATGGACAAGCAATGACAAAGCGGCATGGACTAAGATACAGTAGAATATTATAGAATATAATGCAGTAGATACATATGAGATGAGTAGTGCAAGATATGTAAACATTATTAAAGTGACTAGTGTTCCATTTCTTAAAGTGGCCAGTGATTTTTCAATAGGCAGCAGCAGCCTCTAATGTGCTAGTGATGGCTATTTAACAGTCTGATGGCCTTGAGATAGAAGCTGTTTTTCATTCTTTCGGTCCCAGCTTTGATGCACCTGTACTGACCTCGCCTTCTGGATGAAGGCAGTGGCTCGGGTGGTTGATGTCCTTGATGATCTTTTTGGCCTTCCTGTGACATCGGGTGTTGTATGTGTCTTGGAGGGCGGGTAGTTTGCCCCCGGTAATGCGTTCGGCAGACCGCACCACCCTCTGGAGAGCACTGCGGTTGTGGGCGGTGCTGTTGCCGTACCAGCCGGTGATACAGCCCGACAGGATGCTCTCAATTGTATAATAATAGTATAATATGCCATTTAGCAGACGCTTTTATCCAAAGCGACTTACAGTCATGCGTGCATAATTGTTTTTTTTTTGTGTATGGGTGGTCCCGGGGATCGAACCCACTACCTTGGCGTTACAAGCGCCGTGCTCTACCAGCTGAGCTACAGAGGACCACTTTTGTGCATCTGTAAAAGTTTGTGAGGGTTTTAGGTGCTAAGCCAAATTTCTTCAGCCTCCTGAGGTTGAAGAGGCTCTGTTGCACCTTCTTCACCACACTGTCTGCGTGGGTGGACCATTTCAGTTTGTCGGTGATGTGTACGCCAAGGAACTTGAAGCTTTCCACCTTCTCCACTGCGGTCCCATCCATGTGGATAGGGGGGTGCACCCTCTGCTGTTTCCTGAAGTACACGATCATCTCCTTTGTTTTGTTGATGTTGAGTGAGAGGTTATTTTCCTGGCACCACACTCCCAGAGCCCTCACCTCCTCCCTGTAGGAGGTCTCATCACTGTTGGTAATCAAGCCTACTACTGTTGTGTCGTCTGCAAACTTGATGATTGAGTTGGAGGCGTGCTTGGCCATGCAGTCATGGGTGAACAGGGAGTACAGGAGGGGGCTGAGCACGCACCCTTGTGGGGCCCCAGTGTTGAGGATCAGCGAAGTGGAGATGTTGTTTCTTACCTTCAACAGCTGGGGCGGCCCGTCAGGAAGTCCAGGACCCAGTTGCACCGGGCAGGGTTCAGACCCAGGGCCTTAAGCTTAATGATGAGCTTGGAGGGTACTATGGTGTTGAATGCTGAGCTATAGTCAATGAACAGCATTCTTACATAGGTATTCCTCTTGTCCAGATGGGATAGGGCAGTGTGATGGCGATTGCATCGTCTGTGGATCTATTGGGGCGGTAAGCAAATTGAAGTGGTTCTAGGGTGGCAGGTAAGGTAGAGGTGATATGATCCTTGACTAGTCTCTCAAAGCACTTCATGATGACAGAGGTGAGTGCTACAGGGCGATAGTCATTTAGTTCAGTTACCTTTTCTTTCTTGGGTACAGGAACAATGGTGGCCATCTTGAAGCATGTGGGAACAGCAGACTTGGAAAGGGAGAGATTGAATATGTCCATAAACACACCAGCCAGCTGGTCTGCGCATGCTCTGAAGACGCGGCTAGGGATGCCGTCTGGGCCGGCAGCCTTGTGGGGGTTAACATGCTTAAATGTCTTAATCACGTCGGCCACGGAGAAGGAGAGGCCACAGTCCTTGGTAGTGGGCCTCGTCAGTGGCACTGTGTTATCCTCAAAGCGGGCGAAGAAGGTGTTTAGCTTGTCTGGAAGCAAGACGTCGGTGTCGGCGACGTGGCTGGTTTTCTTTTTGTAGTCCGTGATTGTCTGTAGACCCTGCCACATACGTCTCGTGTCTGAGCCATTGAATTGCGACTCCACTTTGTCTCTATACTGATGTTTTGCCAGTTTAATTGCCTTGCAAAGTGAGTAGCTCCACTGTTTGTATTCTGCCATATTCCCAGTCACCTTGCCAAATTACAAACATTGTAGATTAGGAATTAACGGTAAATGTACTACTGGTGATATATGTAATAAAGAATTGATATACACGAACAATCAAATGCAAAAAATTCACACAATTAAGTTATGAAACAATGAATGTGCACAAATTGGCGGGAGAGAGAGTATTCTACAGAGAGAAGTACACTTTGCATCTGTGCGCATGGTCAATCCGACTTCTGCATTGGCCATCAGCATTTATGGTGATATAGCCTCAGCAGAAGTCAGTGCATTCATACTTCTTGCGCTTTGCAGAACAGTGTAGAGCTGTTGTCAAGGAAGTTGTCAAGTTGTCAAACAAATTATTTAAATTCCGAGCTATACAGAGCCCTCCGTATTGTTACAAAATGTGGGAGGAGCATGGTGATGCGTTACAGAGTTTGATTTGGCCTCTGCATGCTTCTGGAGGCTCCGCAATTGCATCACACCCTTTTAGTCTAGGGCGCCGCAATGGATTAGTTCACGGAGATGGGTGCAAATATACACTACTGTTCAAAGGTTTGGGGTCACTTAGACATTTCCTTGTTTTCCATGAAAACATACAGTGGGGAGAACAAGTATTTGATACACTGCCGATTTTGCAGGTTTTCCTACTTACAAAGCATGTAGAGGTCTGTAATTTTTATCATAGGTACACTTCAACTGTGAGAGATGGAATCTGGGGCTCCATGCAAGATCTCACCTCGTGGGGCATCAATGATCATGAGGAAGGTGAGGGATCAGCCCAGAACTACACGGCAGGACCTGGTCAATGACCTGAAGAGAGCTGGGACCACAGTCTCAAAGAAAACCATTAGTAACACACTACGCCGTCATGGATTAAAATCCTGCAGCGAACGCAAGGTCTCCCTGCTCAAGCCAGCGCATGTCCAGGCCCGTCTGAAGTTTGCCAATGACCATCTGGATGATCCAGAGGAGGAATGGGAGAAGGTCATGTGGTCTGATGAGACAAAAATAGAGCTTTTTGGTCTAAACTCCACTCGCTGTGTTTGGAGGAAGAAGAAGGATGAGTACAACCCCAAGAACACCATCCTAACCATGAAGCATGGAGGTGGAAACATCATTCTTTGGGGATGCTTTTCTGCAAAGCGGACAGGACGACTGCACCGTATTGAGGGGAGGATGGATGGGGCCATGTATCATGAGATCTTGGCCAACAACCTCCTTCCCTCAGTAAGAGCATTGAAGATGGGTCGTGGCTGGGTCTTCCAGCATGACAACGACCCGAAACACACAGCCAGGGCAACTAAGGAGTGGCTCCGTAAGAAGCATCTCAAGGTTCTGGAGTGGCCTAGCCAGTCTCCAGACCTGAACCCAATAGAAAATCTTTGGAGGGAGCTGAAAGTCCGTATTGCCCAGCGGCAGCCCCGAAACCTGAAGGATCTAGAGGTCTGTATGGAGGAGTGGGCCAAAATCCCTGCTGCAGTGCGTGCAAACCTGGTCAAGTCCTACAGGAAATGTATGATCTCTGTAATTGCAAACAAAGGTTTCTGTACCAAATATTAAGATCTGCTTTTCTGATGTATCAAATACTTATGTCATGCAATAAAATGCAAATTAATTACTTAAAAATCATACAATGTGATTTTCTGGGTTTTTGTTTTAGATTCCGTCTCTCACAGTTGAAGTGTACCTATGATAAAATTTACAGACCTCTACATGCTTTGTAAGTAGGAAAACTTGCAAAATCGGCAGTGTATCAAATACTTGTTCTCCCCACTGTACATACATACATACATACATACATACAGTGAGGGGAAAAAAGTATTTGATCTCCTGCTGATTTTGTACGTTTGCCCACTGACAAAGACATGATCAGTCTATAATTTTAATGGTAGGTTTATTTGAACGGTGATAGACAGAATAACAACAAAAAAATCCAGAAAAACGCATGTCAAAAATGTTATGAATTGATTTGCATTTTAATGAGGAAAATAAGTATTTGACCCCTCTGCAAAACATGACTTAGTACTTGGTGATAAAACCCTTGTTGGCAATCACAGAGGTCAGACGTTTCTTGTAGTTGGCCACCAGGTTTGCACACATCTCAGGAAGGATTTTGTTCCACTCCTCTTTGCAGATCTTCTCCAAGTCATTAAGGTTTCGAGGCTGACGTTTGGCAACTCGAACCTTCTGCTCCCTCCAGATTTTCTATGGGATTAAGGTCTGGAGACTGGCTAGGCCACTCCAAGACCTTAATGTGCTTCTTCTTGAGCCACTCCTTTGTTGCCTTGGCCGTGTGTTTTGGGTCATTGTCAAGCTGGAATACCCATCCACGACCCGTTTTCAATGCCCTAGCTGAGGGAAGGAGGTTCTCAACCAAGATTTGATGGTACATGGCCCCATCCATCGTCCCTTTGATGCGGTGAAGTTGTCCTGTCCCCTTAGCAGAAAAACACCCCCAAAGCATAATGTTTCCACCTCCATGTTTGACGGTGGGGATGGTGTTCTTTGGGGTCATAGGCAGCATTCCTCCTCCTCCAAACATGGCGAGTTGAGTTGATGCCAAAGAGCTCCATTTTGGTCTCATCTGACCACAACACTTTCACCCAGTTCTCCTCTGAATCATTCAGATGTTCATTGGCAAACTTCAGACGTGCATGTATATGTTCTTTCTTGAGCAGGGGGACCTTGCGGGCGCTGCAGGATTTCAGTCCTTCACGGCGTAGTGTTACCAATTGTTTTCTTGGTGACTATGGTCCCAACTGCCTTGAGATCATTGACAAGATCCTCCTGTGTAGTTCTGGGCTGATTCCTCACTGTTCTCATGATCATTGCAACTCCACGATGTGAGATCTTGCATGGAGCCCCAGGCCGAGGGAGATTGACAGTTATTTTGTGTTTCTTCCATTTGCGAATAATCGCACCAACTGTTGTCACCTTCTCACCAAGCTGCTTGGCGATGGTCTTGTAGCCCATTCCAGCCGTGTTTAGGTCTACAATCTTGTCCCTGACATCCTTGGAGAGCTCTTTGGTCTTGGCCATGGTGGAGAGTTTGGAATCTGATTGATTGCTTCTGTGGACAGGTGTCTTTTATACAGGTAACAAGCTGAGATTAGGAGCACTCCCTTTAAGAGTGTGCTCCTAATGTCAGCTCATTACCTGTATAAAAGACACCTGGGAGCCAGAAATCTTTCTGATTGAGAGGGGGTCAAATACTTTTTTCCCTCATTAAAATGCAAATCAATTTATAACATTTTTGACATGCATTTTTCTGGATTTTTTTGTTGTTATTCTGTCTCTCAATGTTCAAATAAACCTACCATTAAAATTATAGACTGATCATTTCTTTGTCAGTGGGCAAACATACAAAATCAGCAGGGGATCAAATACTTTTTTCCCTCACTGTATATGTATATATATATATATGTGTGTGTGTGTGTATGTATGTGTGTGTATATATATCTATGTATATATGTATATATACACTGCTCAAAAAAATAAAGGGAACACTTAAACAACACAATGTAACTCCAAGTGAATCACACTTCTGTGAAATCAAACTGTCCACTTAGGAAGCAACACTGATAGACAATACATTTCACATGCTGTTTTGCAAATGGAATAGACAACAGGTGGAAATTATAGGCAATTAGCAAGACACCCCCAATAAAGGACTGGTTTTGCAGGTGGTGACCACAGACCACTTCTCAGTTCCTATGCTTCCTGGCTGATGTTTTGGTCACTTTTGAATGCTGGCGGTGCTTTCACTCTAGTGGTAGCATGAGACGGAGTCTACAACCCACACAAGTGGCTCAGGTAGTGCAGCTCATCCAGGATGGCACATCAATGCGAGCTGTGGCAAGAAGGTTTGCTGTGTCTGTCAGCGTAGTGTCCAGAGCATGGAGGCGCTACCAGGAGACAGGCCAGTACATCAGGAGACGTGGAGGAGGCCGTAGGAGGGCAACAACCCAGCAGCAGGACTGCTACCTCCGCCTTTGTGCAAGGAGGAGCAGGAGGAGCACTGCCAGAGCCCTGCAAAATGACCTCCAGCAGGCCACAAATGTGCATGTGTCTGCTCAAACGGTCAGTAACAGACTCCATGAGGGTGGTATAAGGCCCCGACGTCCACAGGTGGGGGTTGTGCTTACAGCCCAACACCGTGCAGGACGTTTGGCATTTGCCAGAGAACACCAAGATTGGCAAATTCGCCACTGGCGCCCTGTGCTCTTCACAGATGAAAGCAGGTTCACACTGAGCGCGTGACAGACGTGACAGAGTCTGGAGATGCCGTGGAGAACGTTCTGCTGCCTGCAACATCCTCCAGCATGACCGGTTTGGCGGTGGGCCAGTCATGGTGTGGGGTGGCATTTCTTTGGGGGGCCGCACAGCCCTCCATGTGCTCGCCAGAGGTAGCCCGACTGCCATTAGGTACCGAGATGAGATCCTCAGACCCCTTGTGAGACCATATGCTGGTGCGGTTGGCCCTGGGTTCCTCCTAATGCAAGACAATGCTAGACCTCATGTGGCTGGAGTGTGTCAGCAGTTCCTGCAAGAAGAAGGCATTGATGCTATGGACTGGCCCGCCCGTTCCCCAGACCTGAATCCAATTGAGCACATCTGGGACATCATGTCTTACTCCATCCACCATTATTATTATTAATAAATGCCCTTCATTTCTTTCATTGAGACTTGGTTTTTAGATTCACCATTGATAGCACCGATCCTACTCATGTCAAATAAATGCTGTTAGGCTACTTGATGAGCAACTTGTCGAATTAAGACCTATTTTTACAGGCACTCTGCTCTCATTGTCTTCAAAAGTAGGTTACCCTACTCCATGACCCTCTTGTGTATTGGGAATGTGGTTCACTATTAGCTAGTTTAGGGGCATTTTGACAGTGACAGTTTTTTGCACTAGCACTACACAGCTGATTCAAATAAGGACATCAATCTTTGATTATTTGAATCAGCTGTGTAGTGCTAGGGCAATAACCAAAACGTGCACCCCTTGTGATCCCCGGGACCAAGTTTGGCATATGCTGTTTTAGAGAATTTGGCAGTATGTCCAACTGGCCTCACAACCACAGACCACTTGTAAGTCATCGTGTGGGCGAGAGGTTTGTTAATGCCAATGTTGTGAACCGAGTGCCCCATTGTGGCTGTGGGGTGATGGTATGGGCAGGCATAAGGTACGGACAACGGACACAATTGCATTTTATCTGTAGCAATTTGAATGCACAGAGATACCATGACGAGATCCTGAGGCCCTTTGTCATGCCTTTCATTCACTGCCCTCGCCTCATGTTTCAGGATCGTAATGCACGGCCCCATGTCACAAGGATCTGTACACAATTCCTGGAAGCTGAAAATGTCCCATACTCACCAGACATGTCACGCATTGAGCATGTTTGGGATGCTCTGGATTTATGTGTACGACAGCGTGTTCCAGTTCCCGCCAATAGCCAGCAACTTCGCACAGCCATTGAAGAGGAGTGGGACAACATTCCACAGGCCACAATCAACAGCCTGATCAACTCTATGCGAAGGAGATGTCGCACTGCATGAGGCAAATGGTGGTCACACCAGATGCTTACTGGTTTTCTGATCCACGTCACTACCTTTTTTAAAGGTATCTTTGACCAACAGATGCATATCTGTATTCCCAGTCATGTGAAATCTATAGATTAGGGCCTAATGAATTTTTCAATTGACTGATTAACTTTGTAAAATCTTTGAAATTGCTGCATGTTGCGTTTCATTTTTGTTCAGTTTGTAGCCTGGCAGGTTGTAATGAAGTTTTGACAGCCACCAGGGATGAAGGCGATAGCGCTCCATTCCTAACTTTACAGCTGGAGTTGGCACAGTTATTAAGGCTGGGGTTTTATCAGAATGTTTGGAGGGATAAAGCTAGAAATAAGTAGCTGCTCTTCCAGTGTTTAATGTAGTCCCTAGCCTCTTGTCCCTATGGTGGCGCTAGTATGATTATGCAGAGCATAGTGAGTATATTGTGTATAGAGAGAGTGTGCTGGCTAGGTGGCCTCCCCTGTTCCATGAGGGCCATAGCAGAGACTCTTGCCCAGCAGCGTTCACAACTAAACCCCCACTGTAGAACTGATCAAAATAGTTTTCCCATTTTTGGACGTGCTTTTTTCAGGTCTCAAGCAATTCGTCTCTCTCCTCCCCCCCCCCCCCCCGTCTAGCACTGAGGAGGCCCAAGGGTCTGTTTACATGTCTGTCAAAACTCTGTCCTTTGGAGAAGGAATTAATCAGGGGCTCTTGTTTGTACAGTAGGCCATCTTTTTTTTTGTCTGGCTACATAAAGTAGTTCATATATACTAGTTTATATACTGTAAAACTACATCAAAAGAACAAGCCATTTTACATTCTGCTTTCTTAATCAACCACCCTGCCTAAAGCAATTTATCAATATAATTTGGAATCCCTGCGTGTTGTTCTTTCAGACCGACAGTAGGATACGCTGATACCCTCTTCTCAGCCGTAGCTAATAAATGTCAAGATCCTTTAATGAGCTCTTGGGACTGTCCCTTTCAGTGGTGCGAAGAGTATTTTGGAATTTATGTTGTACTTTTGTTTTACTGGCAATTACCAAAGCCCTATGTTAGTGGAAAGAATGAGCTACCTTCTATTTTTGTCCCCCGCACTAGTTCAGTGGAACATTAATATTGTTTTACATATCATTTTCTCTCAGCTGTTATCCAGCAAATGTTTAATTTGTCACTAGTCTACATTCTGCACATATGAGTGAGCCAGTGGTTTCACGTGTGTGTCTGGAGAATTGGACATGCCCTGTGAACATCAGTAGTGTTGTGACCCTCTTGCTCATGAAATAACTTGAGTTTGATAAAGCCGTTCTGTCTTCAAAGGTTTGTACTGCACCAAAATGTTTAACATCTCTTGACTCAATTATGCCTTCAAAATGTCAAATTGCCCCATCCTCATGCACCTTATGCCTAATTTGTTTAGATGTCTTGTGCTTAATCTGTGAACTACAGGTTAGAATGTAATCCATTCACTAAAGGTATCCTCCTTCAGTATAATCCACTCAACTCAGCCCTGCTCTAGTTGTACTTAAAGGAAAGGTTCACCCATTTTGAATGTTATATTGTTTTTGTGCATCTACGATGTTCTATCAATTCCCTGGGTCATTTCATGTTTTAACGTGTATCTGAGTTATTGCCTTTCAAGCAGGCAGAAATCCGGCCGGTATGACGTAGCACTGTGATAAAGTCGCTAGCACTACACTGAAAGGTAATAGGAATATTACTTTTAGTTTGCAAAAACGGCTATCATACATGTCCGATTTCAATACTGGCCGATGTCATAACTTGGGAGGATGTTTTCTCTCGAATGAGCCATTGATCATATTTTTGCGATATTCCTACCTCGAGAAATTTGTAATTTAACGGAGGGTCTAGCACATTTTTCCTATTTGTCTGCCTCTTCTGTCCAGGGTGCATTGCATGGTGCCGTTGCTAGAGATATTATAGGAAACGTATAACGCCTCACCTAGCAGACTGTCGTCTAATCATGTTCACGTTGTTATGCTGCGTCACGCGGTTGCTAAGCTAACCGTCACGCAATCCCTTCTCAAAGTCAAGTGTATACAGTTGAAGTCGGAAGTTTACATACACCTTAGCCAAATACATTTAAACTCAGTTTTTCACAATTCCTGACATGTAATCCTAGTAAAGGTTCCCTGTCTTAGGTCAGTTAGGATCACCACTTTATTTTAAGAATGTGAAATGTCAGAGTAATAGAATGATTTGTTTCAACTTTTATTTCTTTCATCACATTCCCAGTGGGTCAGAAGTTTACATACACTCAATGAGTATTTGGTAGCACTGCCTTTAAATTGTTTCACTTGGTCAAAAGTTTCGGGTAGCCTTCCACAAGCTTCCCACAATAAGTTGGGAATTTTGGCACATTCCTCCTGACAGAGCTGGTGTAACTGAGTCAGGTTTGTAGGCCTCCTTGCTCACACACACTTTTTCAGTTCTACCCACACATTTTCTAAGCTGTTTAAAGGCACAGTCAACTTAGTGTATGTGAACTTCTGACCCACTGGAATTGTGATTTTATTTTATTTTTTATTTCACCTTTATTTAACCAGGTAAGCCAGTTGAGAACAAGTTCTCATTTACAACTGCGACCTGGCCAAGATAAAGCAAAGCAGTGCGATTAAAAACAACAACACAGAGTTACATATGGGTTAAACAAAACATTAAGTCAAAAATACAAACAGAAAATATATATACAGTGTGTGCGAATGTAGTAAGTTATGGAGGTAAGGCAATAAATAGGCCATCGTGCAAAATAGTTACAATTTCGTATTAACACTAGAATGATAGATGTGCAAAAGATGATGTGCAAATAGAGATACTGGGGTGCAAATTAGCAAAATAAATAACAATATGGGGATGAGGTAGTTGGGTGGGCTAATTTCAGAATGGCTGTGTACAGGTGCAGTGATACAGTGAATTATAAGTGAAATAATCTGTCTGTAAACAATTTTTGGAAACATTACTTGTGTCATGCACAAAGTAGATGTCCTAACCGACTTGCCAAAACTATAGTTTGTTAACAAGAAATTTGTGGAGTGGTTGAAAAATGGTTTTAATGACTCCAATCTAAGTGTATGTAAACTTCCGACTTCAACTGTATGTCGAGAAACGTGCCTGTTTTCCTAGAAAGTGCGTAATGTCAAGATTCCAAAGCTATACGATATTACAGATGGCAAGTTAATTTTCTCACATCTCAGAAAATATTTTCAATGTTTTACTTCTTGTTAACGCCCAGAATACACCGCACAGCCCATTTGACTAGCATGGGCAACGTTTCCCATCTCCTCAAAAGTATATCTGCTGTTGCGAATGCCAGACTCCACTCTGAGGCACATCGATCAGCAGGTTGAAATAGTGAGAATGTAGACTCCTAAATTGATTTTACAGGCAATTTTACAGCTAACTAGCTACTTTACATGCTGATATTGTCTTTGGTATTATTGTGTGTAGCGATGTTTGCTTGCTAGCTAGCCAGCCAGACAGCCCATAGAGAGAGCATTGCATTGTGGATTTTGTAGTTGACTTGAGCTGCAACAGATTTCCACAACAGTTTTCCATGTTGATACCAACCTTATTATAACACCAAAATGAAACATTTATTCACAGAAAATATTGTTCTCACATATGAGTGTTATTTAACACTGTAAATTAAAGGAATTAGTGGTTTTGAGTGGATTTTTCCTTTAATGGTCTCTCCCCCCCATTATGTTTGTTTTTCTCCACAGTTGGCGACAAAGTTCCTGCAGATATTCGACTCACATCCATCAAATCCACAACCCTGAGGGTGGACCAGTCCATTCTGACAGGTGAGATCTAGGCCTTGGCCTCGTTTCTTTTCAACCTGCTTGTCGAACATCTCATTCCAAAATCATGGGCATTAATATGTAGTTGGTCCCCCCTTTGCTGCTATAACAGCCTCCACTGTTCTGGGAAGGCTTTCCACTAGATGCTGGAACATTGCTGCAGGGACTTGTTTCCTTTCAGCCGCAACAGCATTAGTGAGGTCGGGCACTGATGTTGGGTCGATTAGACCTGGCTCCCAGTTGGCGTTCCAATTCATCCCAAACGTTTTCGATGGGGCTGAGGTCAGGGCTCTGTGCAGGCCAGTCAAGTTCTTCCACACATATTTCGACAAACCATTTCTGTTTGGTCCTCGCTTTGTGCACTGGGGCATTGTCATGCTGAAGCAGGGAAGGGTCTTCCCCAAACTGTTGCCACAAAGTTGGATGCCAGAATTGTCTAGAATGTTATTGTATGCTTTAGTGTTAAGATTTCCCTTCACTGGAACTAAGGGGCCTAGCCCGAACCATGAGAAACAGCCCAGACATTATTCCTCCTCCACCAAACTTTACAGTTGGTACTATGCAAACCACTTCACGGCTGAGCCGTTGTTGCTCCTAGACGTTTCCACTTCACAATAACAGCACTTACAGTTGACCGGGGCAGCTCTAGCAGGGCAGAAATTTGACGAACTGACTTGTTGGAAACGTGGCATCCTATGACGGTGCCACGTTGAAAGTCACTAGGCAATTCAGTAAGGCCATTCTACTGCCAATGTTTTTCTATGGATATTGCATGGCTGTGTGCTCGATTTTATACACCTGTCAGCAATGTTGTGGCTGAAATAGCCGAATCCACTAATTTGAAGGGGTGTCCACGTACTTTTGTATATATAGTGTAGTTTTAAACATTCCTTGCCATTGCTCCTGCATCCATAAAAGCACAGCAAGAACACAATGTTACAGGCATTTACAATATTAATCTTATTTAGGTTTGCTATATCTTTGTGTAGAACTTGTATGTAGTTGCCGGTGTTTGTGAGTTGTGTTATATGGGCTGATGAATGACTCCGGGTTGAGTCACCACTTGAGAATGACATTGAAACAGTCAGTGTGAGAACAAGAGAATTTCTCTCTCCGAATGACTCCCTGAACCTTTATTCAAGAAGAGGTCAGCAGTTCTTAGTCAATACAGTATAGAGAGGGAGGAGAATGAGGAGAGGCTGACAGAGGGAGAGAGCGATATGGAAGCGAGAGGGAAGAGGGTTATGAGAAGCTAGTCCTGAAACCCCGGTCTTGCTCCACTGCCTTAATTGGTAGCGGAGTTTGTGGTATTTCAGCTGCTTTTCCCTCTCCTCCCATTAATGGCTATAATCTGTGAAAAACAGTCTGTCTCAGCCTATCAGAACAGTGCAGAGCTTGCTCAGCTGATTACCCACTAGGCCTTGCATCCCCCTGCAGTGCAGACTCAGGAGTGTGAAAGTCCCCTCGGATGCAGCATTTTGTAATTGGCAGCCCTGCTCAGTCAGCTGTGAAGGCAATTCACACCCATCTTCCCCAAAATGTCAACCCATCACCACATTGCTCTGTGTAAGGGCGGCGTTGTTTGATCGTCCTCATCCCTCTCTTTCTCTCCTCCTGCAGGGGAGTCTGTCTCTGTGATCAAACACACTGACCCGGTACCTGACCCCCGGGCTGTAAACCAGGACAAGAAGAACATGCTCTTCTGTGTGAGTATCTAGAAAACCATTAAAGACCTCTCTCCCCCATTCCCCTTTCACCTTCTATTGTCTCTTCAGTACATGATCCTCTTTCAAGTTTAGCTAACCCAATAATTATAATCTCCTTTTCTCCCCCTTTCCCTTATCTCCGTTACATGTTCCTCTCTGGGATTTTGATGTCAGACCTCTTATCCTTAACCCCTCGTCCTCTTCTTCTCCAGTGTTTTACTGTTCGTCCCCCACTTGTTCAGGTCCCCAGTGTATTTCAGGTGTCCCCAGTGTTATTACAACCCTCAGCAGTGTACACCTGTTGTCTCACCACCTCTCCTCTCTCCTTCACAGGGTACAAACATAGCAGCGGGTAAGGCGGTGGGCGTTGTGGTGGCCACGGGCGTCCACACGGAGATTGGCAAGATCCGGGACGAGATGGCGTGCACGGAGCAGGAGCGTACGCCTCTGCAGCAGAAGCTGGATGAGTTCGGGGAGCAGCTGTCTAAGGTAATCTCCCTGATCTGCATCGCTGTGTGGCTCATCAACATTGGCCACTTCAGCGACCCCGTCCATGGAGGCTCCTGGATCCGCGGCGCTGTGTACTACTTCAAGATTGCTGTGGCCCTGGCCGTGGCCGCCATCCCTGAGGGTAAGAGTCACTAGGAGAGTGGGAATGAGGAGTGAGGGGAAGCAGTCTATAATATACAGAAAGCAATACATTGGGCTCCAGCATAGTTAGTATGTCTAACCCCCTCTTATTGCCATCTCTCTCTTTACCAGGTCTGCCCGCTGTCATCACCACCTGTCTGGCTCTAGGAACCCGCCGGATGGCCAAGAAGAACGCAATTGTCCGCAGCCTGCCCTCTGTGGAGACCCTGGGCTGCACCTCCGTCATCTGCTCCGACAAGACTGGCACCCTCACCACCAACCAGATGTCTGTCTGCAGGGTGAGTCCCCATCCCCAGAGCATCATGGGGATATGGGTGGTGGTATGGTGGGAAGGGTTTTTAGTAGGAATGGCTGATGTTTTGTATTATGGTTACGTCCAACACTCGGGGTATTAAAACTAACATTACCTTAGTAGTGAAAAATATTCTTACCTAAATCAATGATTCTAGCCTTGTTTGTGTGCTACTGCTTGGAAACACTTTTACCATGGAGAATCCTGGGAAGGTGACAGTGGCAAGTCAATATATGAGACCCAGCCGGTGAGCATCTGAAGTCCTGCCAGTGGAAATGCAAATCTCCAGCTGCTCAATGCAAAAGCCATGCAAAAAACACCTCCTCACACCTTGCCTCCTGGGACGAGCTTTCTGCACTGGCAGGGAGGGGTCCAGCTGAGCTAAACAGAGCCTACAGCAGCCTATTCCACATTTATATTAGCATGTTTAATCAGATGGAGTTTTAGGGCTTTCTGAGCTCAACTTGATTAGCCTTTGCTAGTTTATGTAGCAGTATACCTGCTTAAGGAGAAGGCTATGTTCTTGGCAACCATGAACAATCCATTCCAGTGAGAACTTTCCCACTGATTTGGCATCAGAAACCCCCTGGCAATAAAGCAGTATTGACAGCGTCTACTGACAGTGTGGACTTATCCCCAGGGTATTGTAGCGGTTGAAAGGCAAAGCAGTATAATGAATGATTCATTTATTTGCTATCACGGTTTAAATGAGATTGGGAAGTGGAGGCTATGAAATTATTCCTATATTTATTGAATTGCATCATATTAGATTGATTAAATGCAACTGCTGAACACTTTATGCCAGGGGTAGGCAGCTAGGTTCAGCCACTGGCCGATCTTTGTCGGTTGCGGATGGTCGGGAGGCTGAAACATAATTCTAATAATTTGTACACTGCAAATTTTGAAAATAACAATCATTTCATACCTTTATTACATTGAGACACAATCACGTGTCTTTTATTTGTGGGAACAGATTTCCTGAATTGAACAAATGTTTAGCTGAGTTTCTGGTGATTTCACTGCCCTCAGATTGGTGATGAGTCACACACACAGTCATTCATATTCAGGGGGATGGGCAACAGGTGGCCCGCGGGCCAAAATCCCTGAATATGGACCATAATGCATTACCACTCCCAAGCCTCTTTCCCCAATGGTCTTCGACACTGCTGTTCTCTTCCACTGCATCACTCCTGTATAATTTCTATCTTATTTTCTGCCGTCTCCTACTATTCTCACATTTCATTCCCTCTTTCTCTTCTTCTTCATCCTTATACCTTTCCCTCTTATCTCCCTCTCATTCTCTCTTTAAGCAATAAGGCACCTCGGGGGCTTGTGATATATGGCCAATATACCACGGCTAAGGGCTGTTCTTATTCACGACGCAACATGGAGTGCCTGGACACATTTGTTTTAGATCTCTCCCCCTTCACTCTTTCTATCTCTTTCTGATTTTGAGTGGTCTGTGCTGAGAGGGTGTCTGCACGCAAACACAGCACAAGGCACGGCACGCACAACATTACACAATACATTTCCACGCAACACTGCTCAGCATAATCAAAACAGCTCAGCATAACATGGCAGCATGGTTCAGTTCTTGGAATACAGAGGGAGGGGAAAGATTGGAAGCAGCATCTTGTTTAAAGATAACAAAGAAATTGTTTTCCAATGCAAAACTTCCTAGCATATATACTTTTGAACTATTCCTGTACCGATACTGCAATAACAGAATCTGGAATTCGGCTGCTGTGTAAGACGGGTAACTCTAAAATTAGCCAGCTGGAGTAGAGGAATGTTTTTCTTAATTCATTGTGTTTTTGGTAAAGCATCCCTGACGTCACAGCTCTTTTGAAGTCTGTACTGTGCCTCAGGAGGGGAGAAGGGAAAGACAACACCGGTTCATACTTTTATTTTGATATTTCTCTCCATCTCTCCATCCTGCCTTGCTTCTCTACAAAGCCGGCGCCGGGAGATTAGTCTCACTCTGTGTGTGTGTGCGCGCGTCTTGCGTGTGTGTGTGCGCGTCTTGTGTGTGCGCGTCTTGTGTGTGTGTGTGTGTGTGCACGTCGTGTGTGTGTGTGTGTGCGCGTCCTGTGTGTGTGTGTGCGCGTCCTGTGTGTGTGTGCGCGCGTCCTGTGTGTGTGTGTGCGCGTCCTGTGTGTGTGTGTGTGCGCGTCCTGTGTGTGTGTGTGCGCGCGTCCTGTGTGTGTGTGTATGTATGCGCGCGTCCTGTGTGTGTGCGCACGTCCTGTGTGTGTGTGCGCGCGTCCTGTGTGTGTGTGTGTGTGTGCGCGCGTGTCCTGTGTGTATGTATGCGCGCATCCTGTGTGTGTGCGCGCGCGCGTCGTGTGTGTGTATGTATGTATGCGCGCGTCCTGTGTGTGTGTGTGTGTGTGTGTGTGTGTGTGTGTATGTATGTATGTATGTATGTATGTATGTATGTATGCATGCGCGCGTCCTGTGTGTGTGTCTCTCTGTGGCATGCCATCTGTGGAGGCAGGCTTGCCCTATTACTGCTCTCTGTGTTTCTCTCACTTACATGCTCCCACTTCTTCTCCATCTCTCTTTATCTCCTCTAACCCTATCCCTGTCTGCTTTTTCTCTCCCGTCTCCTCCTCTCTCTTTCCCTCCCCTGTCCCGCCGTCTGCTGGTAGAGGTCACATCCACACATTCATCCCAGCATGGACATAAATTAGTACCCTTGTCTAGAACACCTCTCCAAGAGACCCATAGCCACCAGTGTAAAGTGTGCTTAATCCTTAGTGTTTTTTTCCCAAGGCACAGTAGCAATTATTTCATTAATTGGGGTTAGGGTTTATCAGTGCTCTAATAGTATTGCAGTTGTCTGATGTGCTGCCCCCTACTGGGTAGGCTGTGCTACTACTGCATGTAGATCAGTGGGCTCAAATCAAATTTTATTGGTCACATGCGCCAAATACAACAGGTGTAGACTTTACAGTGAAATGCTTACTTACGAGCCCGTTCACAACAGTGCAGAGTTCAAAAGTATGAAATATTTGCTCATTAAAAAAGGAGATAACACAATAAAAGCTAACAAGGCTATATACAAGGAGTACCAGTACCAAGGCAATGTGCAGGGGTACGAGGTAATTGAGGTTAATACAGTATGTACATGTAGTTAGGGGTAAAAGTGACTAGGCAATCAGGATATATAATAACCAGAGTAGCAGCAGCGTATGTGAAGAGAGTCAGGTGCGTGGGTAGAGTCAAGTGAGTGTGCATAGAGACAGTGCAAGAGAGTCAGTCCCATAAAATTAGGATAAATAAATAATAAAGGGGGTCAATGTAAATAGTCCGGGTAGCCATTTGGTTAACTGTTCAGCAGCTTGGAAGTAGAAGCTGTTCAGGAGCCTTTTGGTCCCAGACTTGGTGCTCCAGTACCGCTTGAGTTGCCATACCAAGCGGTGGGCAAGATGCTCTCAATGGTGCAGCTGTATAACATTTTGAGGATCTGAGGGCCCATGCCAAATCTTTTTAGCCTCCTCAGGGAGAAGAGGCGTTGTCCTACCGTCTTCATGACTGTGTTGATGTGTTTGGACCATGATAGGTCCTTAGTGATGTGGACACCGAGGAACTTGAAGCTCTCGACCCGCTCCACTACAGCCTTGTCGATGTGAATGGGGGTGTGTTCGGCCCTCTGTTTCGGTATTACGATAAGCTCCTTTGTCTTGCCCACTTTGAGGGAGAAGTTGTTGTCCTGGCATCACACTGCAAGGTCTCTGACCTCCCTATAGGCTGTCTCGAGTGGCAGCTCTAGCCTTTAGCTCAGTGTGGATGCTGCCTGTAATCCATGGCTTCTAGAGCGCCGCCTCTGGATAAGCATTTTCTTGTTTGTTTATGGCCCCTATACAGCTCCTTGAGTGCGGTCTTAGTGCCAGAATCAGTTTGTGGTGGTAAATAGACAGCTGTAAAAAATACAGAAACTCTTTTTTTATTTATTTTGTATTTAATTTTTTAGAGTATGGTTTACAGCTTATCATGAGGTATTGTAACTAAAGTGGGCAGAACCTTGACTTTCTTAATATTAGAGATCGCACACCAGCTGTTGTTGAGAGACTCAACCCCCCCCACGATCTTACCAGACTGCCGTACTATTCTGCCGATGCATAGAAAAACGAGTTAGATGTTATTATCCATGTCCTTATTCAGCCATGACTCCGAGAAGCATAGTATATTACAGTTCTGGATGTCCCGTTGATAGAATAGTCTCGAACAGAGCTCATCCAGTTTATTCTCTAGCAATTGTACATTCGCAAATAGAACAGAGGGTGGAGGCGATTTTATTCTCTCGCTGCCGTAGTCTAATCAAGGTGCCCGCGCGCCGGCCTCTATATCGCAGTCTTCGCCTTCCACAAGTGTCGGGGATTTGGGCCTGGTACAGGATAATCAATGTCTTTCTCCTCCGACTCATTGAAGTAGAAGTCCTTGTCCAAATCGAGGTTAGTGGTAGCTATTCTGATGTCCAGAAGCTCTTTTCGGTCATAGGAAACGATGGCGGAAACATTATTTACAAAAAAAGTTACAATTAGCGGCCAAAAATACACAGAATAGCATAATTGGTCTGGAGCCCGTAAAATGTCCGCTTTCCAAAGCAGTGGCATACAGTGTTAGGTTGATTCAGGGGATCTAGAGAACTGCCAGTTGTGTAAAGCCTGTCGCGTGCTTCCAAGTCAAAACAGTTAGTGCAAATTGTGCAAATTTTTGTCCATTTTGGTGTTCGGCTGTTTTTTTTTTTTTCGACTGTTCATGTAGTTCGGTAGCCAAAGGCTACGCCCCTTCGTCTGTGATTGGTCAGCTCCTGGTTGGAGAGGGAACTATGGACAGGATTCTTCGATGAAATGTCATTCAACGAGAGATGACTAGTTTTCATGCACATTTTTTCACTTGAGAAATACTGCATCAAACATCTTAGTTAATGTAAAATTGCGAAACTAAGACGACCTCAGCAATGCTGTATGCGGACGCTTTACGTCCATAAGGAAACGTGTGTGTGTGTGTGTGTGACCTGACACGTTCTCTCCCTGTGTTTGTGTTCTAGATGTTCATTATTGACCAGGCTGCAGGCGATAGCTGCTCCCTAAAGGAGTTCACAATCACTGGCTCCACATACGCACCTGAGGGACAAGTGTGAGTAGACAGACATACAGAACGAACACACACACGCGCGCGCACACAATGAAACACACGTGTAGTCACATTATCAATACACCACAACATACCTGAGCTCACTGTTCCCCCTTTTTCATGGCTGTTGTCTTTTATTACAGGTACCATGATGGTAAACAAGTGAAGTCCTCCCAGTATGATGGCTTGGTAGAGATGGCCTCCATCTGTGCCCTGTGTAACGACTCCTCCCTGGATTACAATGAGGTTTGTATCCTTTATAAACGTCACTGTTAGGTTCCTGCTGGTTGAAAAGGCCCGGTCACATAAGCCTTTATCAGTGGTTCATTTATTGTTTTGAATATCAGTGGTCTTCCCCATTCTGTTGTGGATATACATGTTTTTTTAGTTGTTCATTGCTACTATCTGGTGTGTTTTTTCCTCAGACCAAAGGTGTGTATGAGAAGGTTGGCGAGGCCACAGAGACTGCCCTTACCTGCCTGGTGGAGAAGATGAACGTGTTTGACACCGACGTCAAGGGACTGTCCAAGATCGAGAGAGCCAATGCCTGCAACTCTGTAAGCCACCATTGGCTACTCTCTTAATCCCAACATGATTCTCCTGTGAAAGAATTATAAAACTGAGTGTTGGTCCCAAATGTCACCCTATTACCTTTATAGTGCACTACTTTTGACCTGAGCCCTATGGGCCCTGGTGGTCAAAAGTAGTGCACTATATAGGGAATAGGGTGCCATTTAGGACGCATACCTGAGTGTGGTCCTATTCCATCAGACATCCCCCAGGTTGTGCTGTTCCACTCCTCCTTGTTAAGGATGTGTTGGTCTGTGTTTTTTCACTGTGTGGTACAGGTGATCAAGCAGCTGATGAAGAAGGAGTTCACCCTGGAGTTCTCCAGAGACAGGAAGTCCATGTCTGTGTACTGCACCCCCAACAAGGCCCGCTCCTCCATTGGCAAGATGTTTGTTAAGGTAATTATGAGAATCCATCTACAGTTTTTCTCGGATAGTAGACCATATGGACACCTGAGAAATTCGCTATATAGTGCGCTACTTTTGACCAGGGCCCAGTAGGGCACTATATAGGGAATAGGGTGTCATTTGGGACATAGTTCTAGATGCCACATCATAATAACTATGATAAATGATTTGGATTTGTGTACTTTACGAGCCAGTGTCATTTTGTAGTTTAATGTACAGTATGTAGTAAAGGAGCAGAGGCTGATGCTTTATTTCCTCTAGTTTGAGTTCCTATCTCTGTCCCTCTTTCTCCAGGGAGCCCCAGAAGGAGTGATTGACAGGTGCACTCACATCCGTGTGGGCGGGAACAAAGTGCCCCTGACCCCGGGCATCAAGGACAAGGTATTGTCAGTGATCAGGGAGTACGGGACTGGGCGCGACACACTGCGCTGCCTGGCCCTGGCCACAAAGGACAACCCCATTGCCAAAGAGAACATGGTGTTGGAAGACTCAAACCGCTTCATTGAATACGAGGTGAGGGAGTGGGGGATCATAATGAAGTGAGAGTGACAGAAATAGCAGAGCATTTATTCAGAGAAAGGACAACCCCAGACACCTTAAATACTGGGACTTACTGTATAGGAGAAACGTGATGAGGCTGCAAAAATAGTGTATATTTCAAAAACGAAAGATTTCGATCATACGGATGAGGCATTGTGAGTGAGCCAAATCCAAGACTCTGGTCTGACTGTCTCTTTCCCCCTGTGTCTCTCCCCAGACGGACCTGACGTTTGTGGGCTGCGTGGGCATGCTGGACCCTCCCAGGGCCGAGGTGGCTGCCTCCATCAAGCTGTGCCGCCTAGCCGGCATCCGCGTCATCATGATCACCGGCGACAACAAAGGCACAGCCGTTGCCATCTGCCGCCGCATCGGCATCTTCAGTGACAAAGACGATGTCTCCTCCATGGCCTTCACCGGCCGCGAGTTTGACGACCTGTCACCGGCCGCCCAGCGAGACGCGGTGGTGAACGCCCGCTGCTTCGCCCGCGTGGAGCCGTCCCATAAATCCAAGATCGTGGAGTTCCTGCAGTCCATGGACGAGATCACAGCCATGGTGAGTGAGACAAGGTCCTCCAGAGACCTGCCTCATCACATATGTGATTTAGTCAAAAGCTCTAAACTTATCCTGTAGAAAAGTAGTTTAGATGGCTAACCATGCCCTGTCCTTTCCCCATGACCAGACTGGTGATGGAGTGAACGACGCCCCTGCTCTGAAGAAGGCAGAGATTGGCATCGCCATGGGTTCCGGCACGGCTGTAGCTAAGTCAGCCTCTGAGATGGTCCTGGCCGATGACAACTTCTCTACCATCGTGGCGGCTGTGGAGGAGGGCAGGGCCATCTACAACAACATGAAGCAGTTCATCCGCTACCTCATCTCCTCCAATGTGGGAGAGGTTGTCTGGTAAGGGTCATGGCTTTGTCCCAAATGGCACCCTATTTCTATTTAAAGTTCACTACTTTTGACCAGGGCACTACTTTCGACCCGATAGGGCACTGGTCAATAGTAGTGCACTATATAGGGAATAGGGTGGCATTTGGGACTCACACCCACATCTCCTCTCTTCAGTGGGAAAATCAATAAAAGGTCCTCAGTGCCAGGGTAACAAGCCTCCATCCTCATGTAAATAATGTTATTCTACCATTCCTACAGCATCTTTCTGACGGCTGCTCTAGGCTTCCCCGAGGCTCTGATCCCTGTCCAACTGCTGTGGGTTAACCTGGTGACGGACGGCCTCCCTGCCACTGCACTGGGCTTCAACCCCCCCGACCTGGACATCATGAACAAGGTCCCCCGCAACGCCCGCGAGCCCCTCATCTCTGGATGGCTCTTCTTCAGATACCTCGCCATAGGATGTGAGTTCACCTGCGCTCTGTGGAGAAGAAACCTTCACAGAAGTGAAATATTAGTTGAACAAGTGTTTAGGCTGTTGTGTGTATCTAGATAGCCATGTGTGTCTCCTGTGCTCTGCCTCTTTAGGCTATGTGGGTGTGGCTACAGTTGGTGCTGCTGCCTGGTGGTTCGTCGCTGCTGAGGACGGACCCAGGATCACCTTTTACCAACTGGTAGGAGAACAATGCCAATACAAAGCACACATACACTCTGAAACGCAGGCGCACGCACACACACAGGCACTCTTACTGAGCGGCTTTTCTCCTCTTCCCACAGAGCCACTTCCTGCAGTGTGGTCCTGAGAACCCAGAGTTTGAGGGTTTGGAGTGTGAGCTGTTTGAGTCCCCCTACCCCATGACCATGGCCCTGTCTGTGCTTGTCACCATCGAGATGTGCAACGCCCTCAACAGGTCAGACTATGCCACTACATCTTTCGTGTTCCTGCTCTCATTTAAAACTTCCCCACTGTTGATTTAGGCTTGACATTAGTAGCATAATGTTGTGAAATTAATCTGGTACACATGGTCAAATGTTGGGCAAATGGCTCCCAAATGGGTTTCAATCAATGACTTAACCCAGTTCTTCTCTCTGTTTCCCCCAGTGTGTCAGAGAACCAGTCCCTGCTGCGTATGCCCCCCTGGGAGAACGTGTGGCTGCTGGGAGCCATCTGCCTTTCCATGTCCCTGCATTTCCTTATCCTCTATGTGGAGCCCCTGCCGGTGAGACTACCTGCAATAATAATAAACCTGAGGCTACCAGAAATGATTTCTAGAACAATTAAATGCTAGTGTAACGGGTGGGATGGGTAGAGAAACTGAAAAAGCAGGAGAGGTTATCATCCTCACCCATGTTGCTATCCTCTCCTCTACAGATCATCTTCCAGATTACCCCTCTGAACCTGACCCAGTGGCTGATGGTGCTGAAGCTCTCCCTGCCCGTCCTCCTGCTGGACGAGGTTCTAAAGTTAGCAGCCAGGAACTACATGGAGAACTACCCTGGTAAAGAGCTGGAGAAGCCCAGCAGCAAAGGCTGCTCTCTCTCTGCATGCATGGAGGGCATCTCCTGGCCCTTTGTGGCCCTCACCCTCCCCCTGGTGCTGTGGATTTACAGCACCGACACTAACATGGCAGACATGTTCTGGTCCTGACTGACTTGAGCACAACCCCCTCTCTCTCCTCCAGTGTGTGCATAGTTAGTGTGTGTGTGTTTGTGTAGACTTGGAGTGTGCCTGCCGAGCGTGCATGAGAAGGACCTAGTTTAACACACAAACTTAACAAATAATATAAAAATGTAACAATCGAAAAGGCCTTTTGTGAGTGGGTGAGGCTTTTGTGTGAGTGTCAGTTTGACCGTCACTCCTGTAGCTGTGGACTTTTTGCTGGTTCAAACAGAAAATAATGTCAGTTTTTGTTATTGTCGATATTGCCTTTTAAATTAGAATATTTTAATGATTTGAGATTATCATTTTGTCTAATTTCACTACAGTACAAATAATCAATTCCTGGTTCTTTTTGCGCTGCCCTTTTCATACGAGTATACAAATTTAGATATTTAAAAGCAGTCCATTGACCTGTACAGAGATTTAACACTATTTTATGCAACTTTTTTGTTTTTGTTCATCACTTTGTAAATTGTTGGAACGGATTGCAGGAGGAGTGGCTAAGAGAATGGTTAGGGTTACCTTTTAATGTTTACCGTTGTCTTCAGTATAAACTTAGAACTCTTTCAGAGCCGATGGACAAGCACCAGATAGCAGGAGATGGGTAAGATAAGGGTTTGTGGAGTGGTTGTGTGTGTATGCATCGCTGAAATTGAAACAAAAGTATCCTAAAAATGGAAGCTGCATGTTCTTTGACCTAGCATGAACTGTACTGGGTTTTTCATTTAGTCGTCTCCCCCACATCAATGTAAAAATTACCTTTATGGATTTCTTTATTTTTAAAACTTTTTGATTTGAAAAGCCAGTTTTTCTGCACTAGGCAGAGCACAGCTACATCAATACGATCCATTTTGCTCATTTCTAGATGCTTTCCCCTACATGGCTTTAGTCTTTATTCAACATTTAGTCAATATAGTTATGACACCTGATGTGTGCCCCTATTTCCTTGTGCAGAAAACAAAAAACTAATTGGCCATTCCTCAGTATTTTTTATTAAGGGTATTTTGTCTTTGTATTTTTTATTTGACATGACTTTTATTACATTTATTTTTGTTGTTTTGTTGGCAGGATTGGGTGGGGATAAAGGATGTAAATGTTGCCATCTCTATGTGGGTCATGATTTTGATTCAAAGGAGAGAAAAGGCTACAAAAATAATTTACTTTTAAAATACAGGTTTTCCAATTGACTGCTCCAACCATGAACTTGCGACACATAAGTCCCCCAATGTTTTGTTTTTTATATTTCAAGAAAAATACACTCATGAACCCTTTGAATCAAAGTGTTTTTGTATTTCTTTACCAGGACTGACCTAATGTGGTGTCTAGATCATTTCTATACAGTGTGGTTTTTGTATGGGCACATACTTGAATATAGAAAATGTGTCTTTGAATGCTTCATGCTTATTAGGCGCAACTTGGCTGGCAGTGTGTGTTGATACAGAACTCTGATCTAGAGTATTTTATTTCCCTCCGGGGGGCTTACAAGTCTGTGAAAGGTGCAGTATACCTTTTAGAATAGTAGTCCCAAGGAGTCCATACCATCACACTAGTATTATTGTCTACTAAATAGGTCTGTTTTTCAGCAATCCAACATGGAAACATACCTTTCTGTGAAGCATGTCTTTTGGTAGATGCCTTGGTTTGATTGCACTGTGTCTGTGTTCTTTAACAATGGTGTGCTTTCTCCTTCAATGCCTTCCACTGGCTTCCCTTTTCACTAGTGAGTATTCCCTCCCTCCACCACACTCCTTAACACACCAATCACTTCACACCAAAAATGTATAATGGAGAGATGACTCATAGCTATAACATTTTGATCAGCTGCAGACATCAGCATATTTTTTGCATTACACGATTACCTTTGACCAGCTGAGACCATTAGATCAATACATTTCTGTTGTTCTTGTCAGTTTGGGCTAGTTGTCCATCTGGTGCGCAGGCAGCTCTCAGCTGTTGCTGCAACTTGATGACAGCCAGGGCTGCCACTCATCAGATTGAATTAACTTGTCTCTGACAGGCTATATCGATTCAGGATGGGCTTTTGACTGAAGACTGAGGCTATTTTTTTTCTTTTTCAGTGCACACTAAAACCAGGACTCTGTAAAAAGTTTAGACAGGGAGCCCAATTCTGATCTCTTTTCCACTTATTGGTCTTTTGACCAATCATATCAGATCTTTTCACATCAGATCTTTTTCAGAGCTAATACATATCAGAATTGGGCTGCCTGTCTAAACACAGCCATAGAAGTCAGTGTCAGTTGGTTATGTTGTGGTTGATATTGGATTGGATTGGATTGAGGATATTTCAAGCCATGTCTACATCATACTCCGGTTTTTCTTTGTCACCATTCTTCTAATAGACTTTACCTGAGAGCATCTATTGTTTTCTCGCTGACGTACACTTGCAGCTTAAGCTCCCACACAATCACAGATATCAGTGTGGGTGTCATCTTGTGTTTTGCTTGCATGGAAATATACTGTACATAGTCTTTTGGAAATCCAGTAAAATATTATATATATATATTTTAAGACATGTTTTTCTGTGGCAATATTTTGTACTCATCATAATTTCCCTTTCTCTACAGGTGATGACTAAAACCTGCCATTCCATCTAGTCTGATATGATAGCTGTAGAGACTAACAGTCCTGTCCAGCATGTGTGTTCTGGGTAGCATTACACCTCGGATATCATGACCCGTACTGTAGATCAGTGGAGGCTGGTGGGAGGAGCTATAGGAGGATGGGCTCATTGTAATGGCTGAAATGGAATAAATTGAACGGTATCAAACATGGAAACCGTATGTTTGACTCCGTTCCATGAATTCCATTCCAGCCATTACAATGAGCCCTTCCTCCTATAGCTCTTCCAACAAGCCTCCTCTGCTGTATATGTGACCTGTGCAGACATGGGTACAATGCATTTACAGTATATTCAAATGTTATGAAAATAAAAAGACCAAATAGTAAGTGGAATGAGATGGTGTGGGAATGTGTGTTTGTGGGATTGGTGGGTGGGGGTTTGAGGGTTTAACTGACTTCTTATATCATGGTTAGACTGGGGAGAGATGATGCTGTTTGGATTCCTTTATGCAGGGGAAGCCTTCCATGTCCCTGACATTCCTCCCTGCGTCTTCCTACCTTCAGTATTTCATACCAGGTTGACTATAGTTTTATATCCATGTACAATACACAGCAGTGCATGCCCTCCAGCAGTGAGTAGCCATGCAATTGATCTATATTTCTATAGTAAAATAATATTGTACAAAACTGCTTGACACGATGATAGATGATTTTACAGAGAAATACTACAGTATCACTAATGCTATTAAGTGTTTATCACTGATCAGAAACATTTCCCATTGTTTGGGAATTTGCACAGTACTGGGCCAGGAGACACTGATGTCTGTGGAGTCTGAACTTTAACAATATAACCACTCAACTACTGACTATTAGTTGTGAGAAACCAGGACAGAAGACTGACCGTGGCTTTGATTTATTAGTGACTTGCAATATAGCCGTGTGTTCTATACCTGTTGAATAAAATTGTTCCTTTTTGTCTTGGCAATATCATGTAACTTATTGAAGCTGCAGTTAAACTGTGATGCATTAACTCCCCACCATGTTAAAACGGGAACATCTGTACATTTGAATGATCATTATCTGCGATTGTAACATGCATCACTGAGATTGTGGTTTCAGTTTAATAAACTATTGAAACTGTTTATTGGGGTCTGTATCGTTGTCTTGTAGCCTGAGTGCCCCAGTCTGTTTGTGCTGTCATACAAACTCATTGTTTGCAATACATGTTTGGCTTGACAATGTGCAATGGCGTTGGCAAGTGCGCAAATACACACGCAACATGCAACAATTTCAAAGTTGTTACTGAGTTCACATGACTGAATACAGATACGCAGCTGTGGTCACAGATACCTTAAGAAGAAAAGAAAAGAGTTGGGGTGTGGATCAGAAAACCAGTCAGTAGCTGGTGTCACCACCATTTGCCTCATGCAACACGGCACATCTCCTTCACATAGTTGATCAGGCTGTTGATTGTGGCCTGTGGAATGTTGTCCCACTCCTCTTCAATGGCTGTGCGAAGTTGCTGGATATTGGCGGGAACTGGAACACGCTGTCGATCCAGAGCATCCCAAACATGCTCAATGGGTGACATGTCTGGTGAGTATACAGGCCATTGAAGAACTGGGACATTTTCAGCTTCCAGGAATTGTGTACAGATCCTTGCGACTTGGGGCCGTGCATTATCATGCTGAAACATGAGGGGAAGGCGGCGGATGAATGGCATGACAATGGGCCTCAGGATCTTATCACGGTATCTACATTCAAATTGCTATCGATAAAATGCAATTGTGTTAGTTGTCCGTAGCTTATGCCTGCCCATACCATAACCCAACCGCCATCATGGGGCACTCTGTTCACAACGTTAACAGCAAACCGCTCGCCCACACAACGCCATACACACTGTCTGCCATCTGCCCGGTACAGTTGAAATCAGGATTCATCCGTGAAGAGCACACTTCTCCAGCGTGCCAGTGGCCCTCGAAGGTGAGCATTGGCCCACTGAAGTCTGTTACGACGCCTAACTGCGGTTAGGTCAAGACCCTGGTGAGGACGACAAGCATGTAGATGAATGAAATAAAATGTATTTATACATTTCCTTTTTACATCAGCAGCCTAAAACCCCAAACAGCAAGAAATGCAGATGTAGAAGCATGGTGGCTAGGAAAAACTCCCTAGAAAGGCAGAAACCTAGAGAGGAACCAGGCTCTGAGGGGTATCCAGTCCTCCTCTGGCTGTGGAGGTTATAAGAGTACATGGCCATTAAGGCCAGATCGTTCTTCAAGATGTACAAATGTTCATAAATGAGCAGCAGGGTCAAATAATAATCACAGTGATTCTAGAGCAGGGGTGTCAAACGTACGGCCCGCGGGCCGGATCAGGCCCGCAAACGGGTTTAATCCGGCCCGCGA